TACTAGTCAGCATAGCGCGTCGTGGTAATCGGTGTTCAGGCATACGTAACACGTGGCGGGCCAACCATCTCAGTCGATGAAGATTCATGACCTCACCAACTGATTTACCATCATTTCCTTATACCCTGTGTCTGACCTTTATGTTACTTACCCGGTGATCCCAGCAGATGCGAGCAATATTTCTAAGGCATAGATTATAGAACTAGAGGAAATAGCTTTAGAAAACCCATCATATTGATTAACGTATATATGTATACATCAGTGGTCTAATATGTTCATTTCTTAGACTGTCAGTCCAGTTTGTAGCTTAATGATGGATTAAAACTGTTCAATTACAGAAACTTTATGGTTGAATAGACTATAGATACTTTTTGTTTGAGCTAGATGATATGTTGGTAGTAATGTGGTGTGTGTTACTAATGTCAACAGATATAAGTAGTACGTATCATCAATTGAAAGTGAAATGTATGGCAGCAGAAGGTAAGAAGATCGAACAGAATTGAAAGAGAACACAGAATGGTTGCCGTGGAAACGGAACATGAAGTCTGAGACGATTAATTGACATTTTACAAATGAAATATTTACTGTATGGTTCTCAGATTGCGTATTCAAATACATTTGATTGATCATCACTTGTGTTTTCATTCACTATAAAGCTTCTACAATTGTTCTAGTTAATATTATTGTTTAAGAGTGATTGTTTAGTATATGTGTATTTAGATACATTCTCAATGGAGTTTTGTTCTCTAATCTGGATGGTTTGGTCGTGGAGCTTTCATAGTCCTTCTGAACGACATCATCAGCACATTCTCGTTGACCATTTTGTTAGACTGATCTTATATTGTTATGTATACTGACTGTAGGTTAATATTAACTGATATGCTTCTGGTTACATTTTCATTTAGTATTTAAACCATATAGTCATTAATAAAGTTCCGATTAGTCTAGACCTTCACTGAATTAATTGGCGTAGGCTAGCTGAAAAGAGAAGAGGGGTTGATATAGCTATTGATATAGAAGAAAGTGACCAAATTTTTAAAGTAACCTACTACCTATGATTTAGCCATTTCTAATCTTATAAACTTCAAAGAATTGTCTCCTCTAAATTAACACTATGAACTAAACTACTTATAAGTAGTTTAAATAATCTAGGAAAATTCATAATTTGATTTTCCAGTGCCGATGTAATTCGAATGATCATTTTGTTATATGATCATTAGTTTAGTGAATTTAGAGAATTATAGGTGATTAGTGTACGCCTTTGTAGGCCTCAACATACACCAAGAAAAAAGCAAGATCCTCAAATACAATACGGAGAACACTAACCCAATCACACGTGGTGAAGAAGTCCTGGAAGATGCGGAATGTTTCACGTACCCGGTCAACATCATCGATGAACGTGGAAGATTCGATGCAGATGTAAAAGCAAGGAATGGAAAAGCAAGAACAGAATTCCTTCAAATGAAGTTAATATGGAACTCAAAACATCAGTCAACCAATATCAAAGTGAGAATCTTTAATACGAACGTCAAGGCAGTGCAAGTGTATGGGGATGAAACTGTCAGAACTACCACAACAATTGTCTATGTAAAATACTGAGTGTCCGTTGGCCGAATACCATCAACAACAGCCTACTGTGGGAGAGAACAAATCATCTTCCAGTTGAAAATGAAATTAGGAAAAGACGTTGGAAATGGATAGCAGATACCTTATGGAAATCATCACACTGCATCATGAGGCAAGCCCCAACTTGGAATCGTGAAGGAAAGAGGGAAACAGGAAGGCCGAAGAACATATTGTTTAGAGAATTGTAATTGGATATCAAAAGTTTGAATAGCAACTGAAAAGAACTGGAAAGGACTGACCAGGACAAGTTTGGATGGAGAATGCTGGTAGGCGGTCTATGCTCCTCTATGAATGGTAACAGATATAAGTAAGTAATAGCTTTTCAGCTTGCAATCATATCAAAATAAATTGAAATAAACCAGGATGTAATGGAAGCTGTTTTTGTTGTAGTATAGGGTTCTATAGACTCGCGGAACCACCAGGGATTAAATCATAAATTTCCAGGTAAACTAGTGAGTGCTTAAAACGTTTCACAATCGAATGTCTTGGATGTTTTGATTCAATCATTTTGAGAGACTGATCAAATGACTTCCAGTGTTACTTGTGGATAACTGACATTGAGATCGTTCTGTCATGTGTGGTGTGATGAAGTTCTTCAGCAATGACAAGGAAATGTTGATCGATCAATCTTTTGAAATGATTGGAGTAAGAAATGTTAGACATTGGATGTCGAGACTGTATTCCGATGGTTATGCGCTGACAACTGAAGCCGAAGGTCCAGGATACCTTTTCTACTGCTGTTTCGGATAATCACTAATGTGAAGTTCTATAGTAGACATTTAGTGCTTCGTCATTTCCAGTGGTCCTCTATCTGAGATCAGTCCGTTATTATAAACTATGAATTGAAATTCAAATAAAAGAATGCTTTACGGTTCTACAACTTTTAAAATACAACTTCACTAAGATTTTCAAATATTTCAGTCAGTCATAAATGGGTTAGAACCTAACATATATGTACAATGACTTAAGTTGCCAAGCAACATTGGTACAACGAAATGAATAGAAAAAGAATCAGAAGAGCTGTAGCCTTAATGGTACGGAGAAAGCTTGAACATGAAGAATGTAGTTTAAAAAGACGGAAAAAAAATATATGTGTAGGAAAATAGGAGCATAAGATCTAGAAGAAGAGAAGGAGCACATGGAGCTGCAAAACTGTGGACAACTCTAAGCCGTTTCACTTAACATTCATGTTAACTGAATGCGATTATAATACGAGACCTAACTAGACAGTCTGCTCCAGCTAAATTGAGTCGGAGAGAACAAACCAGATTTCAGTGGAGGAAGAAATCTGGAAGAAGCGCTGGAAGTGGATTGGGAACACTTTGAGGAAATCACTCAACTGCGTCATAAGGCAAGCCCTCACATGGAATCCTGAAGGCCAAAGGAAAAGAGGAAGACCAAAGAACACATTACGCAGAGAAATGGAGACAGACATGAGAAGAATGAACAAAAAATGGAAACAACTAGAAAGGAAGGCCCAGAACAGAGTGGGTCGGAGAATGCTGGTTGGCGGCCTGTGCTCCATTGAAGGTAACAGGCGTAAGTAAGTAATTAAACAAGAGTCAATATCTTTCTGAAATAAAACCAACTATATTAATCCATACTGATTGATATAGACCACTCATAAAGTAGCATTTTTCATTTACATGGAATGGGATAAGTTCCTAAATAACACTCAAGTACAACAATCGAAACTAAACAATACGAACTTATTAAGTTCGAAAATTTTCTTCAATTGATTACAATCTAGAAATGGTAGGGCTCATTATGGAAAGGAAGTATAGATATCCCAACTCAGCAAACGTCTGATTAAGATTAGGTTGTTCAGCACCTATAAATACTTGAATTTTCCATAAATTTGTACTATTTCTTTGTGAGTGAAAGTAGTATCTGCAATTTTTGTTCATCTTTCATCAAAGTAATTAACGATTATAAGTGAACGACTAAGAAATGTAAAGAGAGATCGTATATGCTCATTACCACTGAGGAGTCTCATATTAGGACGAAACGACCATTCAGTGATTTCAAGTTTTATATGGTTGTCTAGCTTTAATCGACTAATGAATTCAGCTATTAAATGAAAAAAAGATTGAATATCACAATCTGAAAGGGGTGCTGTAGATAATTTCTAACTTCAACTAATCCCCGAAATTGCGTCACCGTCTACCATTGTCTTCAGTGAGCTACTATCTCACAACATATCCGGTTGAACTCCACTGATCATGGCTTCTCACTAGAACTAGTGAGCAAATGATGATTATAATCTGAAAGGGGTTTTGTGGATATTATACTAACTTAATAGTTGTATCTATGGATCAATTAAAGCTAGACCACCATAGAAAATCTGTAAGCATTGGACAGAAGATTCGTCCTAGTAAAGGACTCCCCAGTGGTCTAGAGGTTAAGCGTTCGCACACGAGGCCGATAAGTCCTGGGTTCATATCCCGTGAGCAGGATAGTAGTGAGTATCGACTTTGGGATGCGGAGACATCCACCTGGCAGGTCCAAAAGAAGCCAAAATAGATGATCCCGATTTCATTGCTAGTCAATATTCATACTTATATTGATGAAATGAATTTGAGATAATTGTAGTGAACGAGAACATCAGTGGGTACAACCAAAATTGTAGAATCTCTTAATGAAATCTGAGAATCATACAGTAGGTGCTTCATTTGCACAATATCAATCAATCGTCTTAGACTTTATTGTTCTTTCATTTCCACATCAATCATTCACCATTCTCATTCCGCTTTCTTCAATCTTTTTAATCTTCTACCTTCCAAATAATTCATTTTCATTTGATGATACATACTACTTATATCTATCGATATCAGCAACAAATACACACTCCTTCGCACACACACACACACACACACACACCATAGTATTACTTATTATCACATGTTTCAAAAAAGAAGTTTTACACGCTTACTCCTTACATCAATCTAATTAGAATGAAATTTCTTTTTTTTTCAATAAAGTATGTGAAAAAATAAAAAGAATAGAAGATAAACATCTATGACATAATGAGTTGCTGGGTTACATGAACTTGTATACCCATGTAACTAAGTGAACACACACACACAAACATACTCACACATACGCACACACTTGTAAACACTTATAATATCAAAAAAAATTTTTGTAAGCACACCCAAATATGTCAAATCATTTATGATTATTTACACAACCACCCAACCACCTACCCACCCACACACACACACACACTAGAAAGGAGCTCTATTTACTGCAAAAAGAAAAAAAAACACAATTATGATCCTCCTCAAATTTATTGATTGATCTGATTTATCCATGCACAATAGTATTCATTGTATATTGTTACATATTATATATACCTATATGAATAGTATAGTATGAGAGTAAAGAAATTTGATGTAACGATTTACACTTGGGTTATGGTAAGTTCATAATGTATTCGACGGTAAACTATTTAAGGTTATATGAATAAGATCCAAGTGTAGCTTATTGATGAATGTGTATTGGTTGAAGTTAGACATTAACACCGTTGGATGACAATCGATTCAGTGGTTTATCGGTTAAGTGCTCTGGCGCGAGACCGATATGTCATGGGTTCGAATCTCACGAGGCGGGATCATGGACCCGCACTGATACTGAGGAGTCCCATAATAGGATGAAACGGTCATCTAGTGCTTCTAGGTTTTCCATGGTGGTCTAGCTTCAATTGACTCATGATTTCAACTAATATATAATGTGCATTTAAACAATTTTGTTTTGTTGAATCTTTTCATTAATGTTTAGGATTGTAATTGATCGGGTCGCTTATTAGCATATGTACATCTTATGTGGATTGTTTTGAGATTGCCTTAAGTCAGCATTCGGTAGCTAAATGGATAACCTGATGGTATTTTAGGCGAATGGTACTGAGTTTGAGTCTTGGAGTGAACATCAATTGTATGATGTAGGTTTATCCAGGTGAAGAGTCCTAAATAGGACGAAACACGTGCCTTGGATTCCATTGCTAGTCGTTATCCGTCTTTATTTAGGGAATGAAATTGTTCTCCAAGTGAATCAGATAGAATAAAGTATATGAAAGAGACAATAAACTAATCAGGTTATTCTATCTTTATATAGTTATTTAATTATATAAATGATCAATTAGTCTTGATAATTTGTTTTATCTTAATTGATTGATCACTGGGTAGTGATCATTGTCGTGCGTGTCAAGTCCTTCTTAGTGCTGATCGAATGCTATCGATCAAGTTGCAATGTGGCCATTAGTCTAGGTGGCTTGACACTGCATGCACTATGTTGAGATAAGATGGTGGTTGGAGGTGATCAACAGGAAAGACTGGACCCGGGTTTCGTGCTACTTGGCAGTCGACAGCAAGGTGTACGTGTAATCTTGAGGGAACTTGTGCTCCCTGACGGATTCCACTTCATGTCACACAGCTTCACAGTCAGAGACGTTACCGCTGACCTATTCGGACCGTTTAATATTTTCATTAAAAGCATCCATTGATATGATGAATAAAGAAATTTTAGTCAACCGATCATAAACAATTTCCTTTTCGATAGAAGGCTTTATGTAAGATACTTTGAACTAAGTATATATACGTAATTGAATCTATTTTCAAATGTCGATAAGATTTCATTCATACTGCTTCATGAGTCTGTTGAATGTTATATCTTGATGAGAATAAGTAATAGTAACTGTTGGAATCTATTTATGAACTAATACTATAGATGAGACTATAATTTATGGATGACATTTGACCGATGCTGAAGTAACCTTTTAAATGTCCACCTAGTTACTACGGTTAAATTAGGGTTATAAAACAGTTTGAAGAATAAAGATTATGATAGACAGTTGGTGGTTATGATTAGGAATTCGATTTATGGTTTACATCAAAAACTGATATCAACTTAAATGCCAAAACGTTATTTAGCCAAATGGATGAATTAAGTTAGCGCCAAAATCCGAAACCCATTATCTTATATCTGATTGTTTCGTCCATAAATTATAGTCTCATCATACTATACATATATTTCCTATTGTATAATTGTAACTAAACTATATATGTCGATATTCCTCTTATTATAAGCTTTAGTTTGACCCATAGACTATTATTATACGATTTAATGTTCTTGAGTTATACGCAGTCTACTAGTTTCAGTTTCGCTCATTCACACCCACTTTTGGCTTGATCTTGTATACATATTATGCCCTATTTTGTGATGCGATATGGTCTGTTTGGTTTGTACGTGAACAAAGTTGTTCGAAATACATGATTCATATATCAGAGGCTGAGATTGGTGTTCTGGATTTAACATGCACGGCTAGGCAGGAATAAAGACCAATAACGACTATAGACTGTTTATACAGGTTTGGTCGATAAGGCACAACGCCACAAGTTATAACATGAGGAGATCCAGAAATATCTTCGATAAAAGCTCAAGAGGGGCTTTAAAAACTTTGGAAAACATTTTATCCAATCAGCACTGAACAGATGTTTCTCGGAGACATCTAAAAAGTGAAAAGTCATGAGTCACATTTATCATCGGATGATCGACTTTCCTGCTACTATACTGAAAATGGTTCCAAAACTTTCTAGAAGCCTAAGGCTATCTGAAATGCTATAAATGCCCTTCGGTATTTTACACATCAACTCACCTTGGAATAAGGAATTCTTTCCATATTTCATGCCTCTTCTGTCATATTTAAGTTGCTGTGTATATTTAACCTGGAGATTACTAGAGGAGCTTACGAAATCGAACTAAGCGTTCAGTCAATAGATTTATCAGAGTCAACCTAATAGAATCATATCAACTAACTAACTATTTTGTTTTATTTATTGTAAAATATGTTACCCTAAATGTTTTACATCTTCTCGTGGCGGGGTTGTTATATACGAAAGTAGGAGGACAAAAAATGAATATCTGGCGCTTTAACCGGATTAATGAACACAGGAAGTTCACCTAGAGGAGTTGAAAAACTCTGATTCCAAACCAATGATGCACATAAACTCCAGTATCTTGAAAGGAACAAATAACGTTGGTCAACGGCTACCATGCTCCACTACCTTGTGAATCAGACCTTTAGGTCAAAATCTCGAGGTATGGCCCCCCCCTAAGGAATTCAACTGCTACAGTTTGGTCACCTGAGTAATATACCCATCTCTCAAATAAATCAAATGAGATTTGTGTGGCGTATATATATCTGATGCTTCTTTGTATCAATATTTCTGTGTTTAAATTATCATCATCATCATAATAATAATCAATAATACATCACTCCATCTGTAACTCTTCTAGAATTAAATTAATTGATTTTATAACATTCTTATTAAAATTTAAACAAACAAAAAAAAAACAAAAAAAAAATTTTTTTTTATTGATTTTAGAAAAAAAAAATGAAAACCATAGAAAAAAATCATAATTTAATAATACAAAAAAATGATTTATGCCAAGAAAATTTCTATGGAAAAAATGTAAGTTTATTACATAATTATTTAGTTACGTTGTGGTGTTGTCTACTTATATCCATATAAGTAGTATATGGCGTGGGTCAGACATAGAATGTATTTTGGCAGAAGACCGATGAGCAAAGAACTGAAATGAAGCGCAATCGTTTGGAAAATGCATGAGCAATGGAATTAGAGAAGAAACAATGAAGATTGAAACAATTGGTTGTTAATTTGCAAATTGACTGTTCATTGTTTGGTAATCAGGATTTATTGAGATAGTTTGTGTTTTGTTCGCTACATTTGGTGTCGCTGCCAACCGGGAGGAGGAAGGGTGCTGTTCTGCGGACGCCGCTGCGGGTCTGGAGTTGAGGTGCTTGTTGGGGCAGTCTGATGCGGAGTGGTGGCGTCGAGTGGAGTGTTCTGGCGGGGCGGCGTTGGCTGTAGTGGGTGCTGTCGACGGAGAGTAGCAGTGGGACGTGCGGCTGCTGTGCGGACATCGGATGTAGATGGCTCAGCAGGCCGGTGGAGTACGGGTGTTGAACGTCCCATGTGCCGGGTGGATGCGGAAGTTGGTGCCCCGGCAGGTCGACGGAGCTATGGAGGTCAGCGCGCCGCAGACTCGACATTCTGACGGAGAGTTTGGCACAGACTGCAGTGGAAGAAGATAGCGGCGTGGCGAGCAGAACCACCGCATGAACGAATGCTTTAAAGGGGGGACGAGTGTGGTGTTGTCTACTTATATCCATATAAGTAGTATATGGCGTGGGTCAGACATAGAATGTATTTTGGCAGAAGACCGATGAGGAAAGAACTGAAATCAAGCGCAATCGTTTGGAAAATGCATGAGCAATGGAATTAGAGAAGAAACAGTGAAGATTGAAACAATTGGTTATGAATTTGCAAATTGACTGTTCATTGTTTGGTTATCAGAATTTACCGAGATAGTCTGTAATGTTTGCTTAAATACATTCGATTGTCCCCAACCAGTGTTCTGTTCACTACAACGTTAATTACCCTTCATGGAAGAGTATAAGCTATTTATTAACATTCTTTATCTAAATGTGTATTGAAGAATCCTTTCAAGTTGTTTCTAGTTGCTAGGTTGTATTTTTTCATTTTCATTATTATTTGAATTATCTTATTGGTTTATTACATTGTTGAGACATTCCATGCTTTGACTGTTACAAAAGGGAATCAATCTTGTAATTTTCAAAGAATCTTGGAAGCATCAAAATTTTTCCATCAACTCCCAGAGCAGAGTTTGAATGGTTTAATTTATTTATTTTGGTTAGTGTTTTTATTTAATAAGGTTGTTTTTCCATGGAATGGTATTAACGATCCCTTTAACAACTTTCCTACTTTACCCGGACTTGGAATAGGTAGTAATCTTAGAAGAGTTACAGATGGAGAAAATATTAAATCTACACAAAACCCCTTCTGTTAATAATAATATTTCTTGGTTAGAAATAATCAATAAAAGTCTAATTTCAGTATTTTGAAGATATTAGACAAGGGATTATCATCCTAGTAATCCAGATCACTTTAGAAGTAGATAAATCAACTTGGCGAATATTGATTTTCAATGTTACAACAACTGTGTAAATCATGGTTTATACATTTTTTTTAAATTTATATAACAGAACTGTTCGTAATTAGAGTGAGGATTGGTGGAGATTGTAGTGATTTGAATAGTTGAATTCATTAGTCAATGTAAGTTAGACATCCATTGAAAATCTGGAAACACTGAATAGCCGTTTTGTCATAATATGGGGCTCCTCATCAGCACGCATCCACAATAAGACAATGGATGAATGTTTACGCAAGATCAAAGATTGATTGAAGTTAAACAATAACATTACTCGATGCTAGTTCAGCAGTCTAGAGGTTCAGCGTTCACTCAAGTGAGACCGAATGTCCTGGGTTTGAGTCCCTCAAGAGTGGAATCGTAAATGAGCATTACTAAGGAGTTTCATACTAAAACTAAACGGCCATTCAGCGCTTCCAGACCTTCAGTGGTAGTTTGGGGAAGTGTTTTTATCTATTATTGATGAATTCCATAAACCAAACCCATTGATTTAAGTTGACCTCTCTCTATAAAAGTTCTGAATTACAGGTGCTTGATCTCTTATGAGGTTATAATTATCTACAACTAAGAAGTCACTTGTTAAGATGAAACATTTTCTTAGTGTTTACCGGACTAATTCCTTATACGCAATCTTTCTTTTACACACTACTACCATCGGAGTAACTACTTCCACGAATTTTGTGATCAACTTGTTGTACTAATTAGGTGTGACAACTTGAACTTGAGCATACATTGTATCTGATTAACTGACTATTTTGCGATTCTATTTGTTTAGTTAATAAAAGTCAATTCATGATTTAAGTTATCTTAAAATCATGATGAACCATCCTTACAGATCTTTCATTCTAATACGATTCATCTCAGATTAGTTATAGAAGATTGAATATTGAACACCTCTCAGCGTGGCTAATCCAAGGTCTGGTGAAGTAAGTGAACAGTATTAAACGCTCTGAACCAAATTGACGCCTTGTATTCTTATATAAAAATAATTAAAGTAAAGTGATTCCCTGTTATTTTCAATTAGACGAACATTTAACACTAACAGATTTTAATGTGAAAGTCTTTAAACTACTAATTCACTTGGTGTTGTATATTTGTATCTTCCCATTGGTAATTAGGACTGCTATTGATCAGTCCCTTGTTAACATATGTGCATCCTGAGCGGACTACCTCGATATTGCCTGAAATTACAAGCTTTATATGCAAATAGGCCATTAAGAGACTGATCAATTGCAATCTCAAATAACAATGGGAAGATATAAATAAACAACATCAAGTGAACTTAAACTTCACCACATTGCACAAGCAGGTGACTATCAGCACCCAGTAGCTAAGTGGATAACGCGATAGCGTTTGAAGCTGAACGGTGACGGGTTCCATTCCCAGAATGAACATCAACTGTAAGATGCAGGTACATCCATACGACGAGTCCCAAATAGGACGAAACTCGCACCAGACTGGATTCCATTGCTAGCCACTGTCCGTCTTTGCTTATAAAGTCTTCAAACTATGTTATATTATTATCAACTCAAAAGTAAAAATGAAATGCTGTTAAAATGACGTAATATCTCCGATTATCCATCCATTAAATATTTATTTGTTGAAGTTGAACTTGTAATCCATCGGTTACTGATTCGAATAGTCTAAAATTTTAAGTAGACAATCGATGAAATCAGAAGACACTAAAAAAGTTTTTTCTTCCAAGCACAGAACATGTTAATAGTGAGCATCCATGACACCAAAGAAGTTCTTATTAGAATGCAAAGGTCTTCAATTAGCCACACTACCGTAATGTGGTCATGAATGGCTACTGCTGACGAGTCTCATATTATAGTGAACGAGAACACCAGTGGGAACAATCGAATATAAATGAATACAACATTACATAACATCTAAGTACAATCTGAGAACCATAGAGTAAATACTTCATTTGATAAATGTCAGTCGATCGCCGCAGACTTCATTGTTCTTTCATTTTCACATCAATCATTTTCTGTTCCTATTCTCTTCTCTCTAATATTCTTAACCTTCTGCTGCCATACATTTCACTTACAATTGATGATGTATACTACTTATATTTATAGACATCAGTAGCACACATCACTATACTAAAATAAAATAACTATCCTATACTTTCAAGTTTTCCAATAATTAACTAATTAAAACTTTATACTTACTTACGCCTTTTACCCTCAATGGAACATAGGCCAATGACCAGCATTCTCCAACACACCTTATCGTGGGCCTCCTTTTCTAGTTCTATTCAATTTTTGTTCATTCTTCTCATGTCTGTCTCCATTTCTCGGCATAATGTGTTCATTGGTTTTCCTCCTCTCCTTTGACCTTGAGGATTGCAAGTGATGAGGGCTTGCCTTGTGACGCAGTTGGGTGATTTCTTCAATGTACGTCCTATCCACTTCCAGAAATTCTTCCTGATTTCTTCTTCCACTGGAATCTGGTTTGCTCTCTCCCAAAGTAGGTGTGTGCTGATAGTGTCTGGCCAACGGATCCAAAGTATTTTGCGTAGATGACTGTTAATAAACACTTGTATCTTCTGGATAATGGCTTTCGTTGTTCTCCAGGTTTCCGCCTCATACAGTAGAACTGTCTTGACATTTGTATTGAAAATTCTGATCTTCATGTTGGTTGAAGTTGTTTTGTGTTCCAGATATTCTTCAGTTGTAAATATGCTGCTCTCGCTTTACCGATCCACGTCAAAACTTTATACAAATAAATCTAAACTATAAACATGATTTTTTTTCTTCAATTTCAGATCACTGATCCATATCGTTGGTTAGAACAAACTTTCTCTAATAAACCTTATCAATTTATATTGCATCAAATGAAACAAACACAACACTTTTTATCATATTGTCCATATCAAGAAGAATATAGAAATTAGTAAGTTCCTATTTATTATAAATTAACAAACAATCAAACAAACCAGAACGTGTGTTTCGTCTTATTTGGGACTCATCAAATGGATGTACCTATATCTCGAAGTAGATGTTCACCCATAACCCTTGAACCCGGTACCTTTCACTTCAAACGAAACCACATTATCCATTAAGCTACTGAGTAGTGATAGCCTTTAGCTTGTGTAATGTGGTGAGGTTTACAGTCACTTGGTATTGTTTACTTGAATCTTCTGGATGTGTGCGCGAGAATGACAACGATTGACTGTCTGCTTAGTCAGACATGTAGATAGTCTATTTGACAGGTGTCAGATGATGATTATTACTGATTATTGATTGAGTGTTCATTGTTGTTGGATTGTGTTGGGTTTTAGTGTGAAAATATATTTACGTTCTAACCAGACTAGTCAAACGTTCTTGATCTGAGTTGTGTGTTGAAATCCTGTAGAATAGACACTGGGAGGGAATCAAGTGTAGATATTCGTCCAAGGTGAATTATTGTTCATATGAAGAAGAATTTAGAAATTAGTAAAATCTTATTTATTGTAAATAAACAAATAAACGAAAAATATCGTTGGATCATGAATGAAGTGAAGCTACACCATCATGGAAAACCTGGAAACACTGAACGTCCGTTTTGTCCCATTGTGGGGCTCCTCAGCAGTGCACATCCACGATCCCGCTTCGCGTAATTTGAACCCAGATTCTATTTACCTCGCGCGCGGGCGCTTAACCACCAGATCACTGAGCCGGCATCCAACGGTGTAATTGTCTAACTCCAACGGATTCACGAATTTGAGCATGCGTCCACCACTGTCTTCAGTGAGTTTCCATCTCACAACAGACCTGGTTGAACTTCACTGGTCACTGCTTCCAGGTTTTCCATAATGGTCTAGCTTCAATTGACTCATGATTTCAACCATGAAATCACTGAAATCTCCACACAAGCTCCTTCAGATACAAATATATCGATCCAACGTTTCCTTTGTCTTCTTTTTCTTTTTTTCTTCTTTTCTAGTTTGCAGTTACTATGTAATTTTGATCAATATACTTGTTCATTAGTACGTGGTAACAACTACTTTTATTGTTTTAAATCATCGAATTTAGAAAATATGTAAGTTGTTACATTCATTTTGGTATTGTTTACTTGAATCTTCTCATTGATGTTTAGGATTGCAACTGGTCAGTCTCTTTTTGGCATATGTGTCTCCATATAGCCTTAATTCATAAGCATTTTAAGCACAGATTGATAGTGAATAGCAGTGGAATCAAGTCTCACACATATTTTGTCCTATTTGGGACTCGTCAGCTGGATAAACCGGCATCTCAGAGTTGATGTCCACTCTGGGACTCGAACCCGCTACCGTTCTCTTCAAATGCCAACGTGTTAACCACTTAGCTACTGGGTGCTGATAGCCACTTTTTTATGCAATGTGATGAAGATTAATTTCACTTGGTGTAGTTTCTTTTTATCTTCCCATTGTTATTTAGGACTGTAATTGATCAGTCTCTTTTTGGCATATGTGCATCCTGTGCGGACTGCCTCAATATTGCTTGAAATCAAAAGCTTTATATGCAATGATAGATGGTGGTTAGCAGTGAAATCCAATCTGACACCCGTTTCGTCCTATTTGGGACTCATCAGCTGGATCTACCTTCGTCTCACAGTTGATATTCACTCTGGGACTCGAACCCAGTACCACAGCTAACCACTCTCCATCTTTGCTTAATATATAAGTTTTTTACTTCTTCTTTACTTCATTTATTATTCACTCAATGAATCTATTTTTAGTGTTTTAGAATCTATTCAAAATAATTTTAATATACCACGGATTATATTAGATCCAACTTGTATAAGATTGAACAAATTAGAAATAATTTCTGCATTCAATCTATCGGATTGTGGTAAATATTTATGTTATGAAATATGGAATCAAACTAATGGTGAATATAAACTATATGTAAGTCACTATCCTTTGTTCTTTAAGTAGTTTGTTGATGTTCTATGAAGTTATTGGAGTATATTTGTAATCAGTAAAGACGAATAGTGGTTAGCAGTGGAATACAAGGCGCATGGTATGTCCTATTTGGGAATCGTCAACTGTATGTACCTACATCTCATAGTTGATGTTTACCCTCCGGGGCTCGAAATCAGTACCATTCACTTCCGTCTATCAATTAAGGGACGAGTATACTGCGCATCAGTTCGCTATGTTCTACTTTACTGCTGTGAAACATGGTCATCAAGGATAGAAGATACTAGTAATTTGCTAGTATTCGATCATAGATGCTTAAGAAATATTGATCACAACTACTGGGATCACCGGGTAAGTAATAGTGAGGTTAGATGAAGGATTTTAGGGAATGATGGTAAATCAGTTGATGAGGTTGTGAATCTTCATCGATTGAGATGGTTGGGACACGTGTTACGTATGCCTGAACACCGATTACCACGACTCACAATGGTGACTAGTGTTGGGGATGGTTGGAAGAGAGTTAGGGACGGCCAAAACAAAACGTGACATCAATGCTTGAATTCACCAATTTTCAGTCTGAGTCATGTTGATAGATGCAGACTACTCCGCGTAACTATCGTAACCAATGGTTGGAGACTCTGTGATATGGCTCAGTATCGATCACAATGGCGTAGGTGTACATACTCTTTATATTCTCTTAAAACTTGAGGTTAAAATGGCTTCATACCTTTCTTTCTTCATGTATTATATCCTTATGTATAATCTTTCCTTTATATATTACCACCATTAAATTAACTACCTCTATGAATTCGGTATTCATCCTGTTGTGCTAATGAGATATAGCAACTTGGACCGATGCATAATATGTGCCTGGTCCTACGTTGTGTCTGACTGACTGACTGATTGACCGTTTACTTCAAACGACATTATGTTATCTACTTAGTTAATGAGTCCTGATGGCTACTAGCTTGTGCAATGTAGTGAAGCTTATATTAACTTCGTATTGTTTACTTGAGTGTTCTTGATGTGTGCGCGAAAATGTTAATCATCAGTTGTCTGCTTAGTTAGACATTTACATAGTCTATCTGACACGTGTCAGACGAATTATTTACATTTCTGTATCCTTATTATTGATTATTGATTGATTGTTCATTTTTGTTGAATTGTGTGGGGTTTGCTGTGAGGATATACTTACGTTCCAGTCGGGCTATTCACGTGTTCTTCACCTGAGTTGTGTTGAAATCCTGTAGAGTAGACACTGGGAAGGAATCTAGTGTAGATATTTGTCCAAGGTGAAATAATGTCCCACTGAGTAAAAAGGAAACGCATAGTTATAACACTTCTCATTGATGTTTAAGATTGTAATTGATCAGTCTATTATTAGGATATGTGCATACTGTATGTATTGCTCCGATATAACCTTAATTCACAAGCATTATTAGCATCAACTATGGGATGCGGGTTTATACAGTTGATGAAATACTCGTTCTGGATTCAAATTTCAACCATTATGCATTTTTGTTTATCTAAGATATTGTTTAACTTACTTACGCCTGTTACCCCTCTTAGAGGAGTATAGGCCGCTCATCAGCATTCTCTATCCAACCCTGTCTTGAGCAATCCTTCCCAGTTCTTTCCAGTTAACATTCATCTTTTTCATATCTGTTTCTATTTCTCGGCGTAATCTGTTCTTTAGCCTTCTTTTTTACCACTTTCCTTCCGGATTCCAAGTTATGGATTGCCTCGTGATGCACTTCGGTGATTTCCTTAATGTATGTCCAGTCCATTTGATATTGTTTCAATACTTGTTTAGTCACCATTTTCTTCTCTTTCTCCTAACAGTTTAAAGATTTAAAAACGGATATTCAATTACCAGATTGTATTCAACTGTTGAATAAAACTTCTATGACATGGTCAAATGATAATCAAGGAATTTATTATATCAATTGCATGGCAACTAATTCAATTGATGATCCAATGGATAGTTTAATACAAAATTATATGGTTACTATTAATTATCATAAATTAGGTGAAATTGATCAAAGTAAAGATTTAGTGGTATGGAGTTGTGAGATGTCACAACCAAATTTAATGTAAGTTATAAGTCAGGTTTATGTTTATTCATGTTTATATATATATGTATATGGTTTATATTGTTTATACTGGTTTTCTGAGGGATAAGGTTACCGACCATATGTCCAACCATCCTCTTTTACTCCAGGGTTCGGACTGATTGTAGCCTTAGAAGAGATTTAGGAGGAGGTGGAAAGTTTCACGTATCTGGGTAGTATTATCGATCAATGTGGGGGGATTCGATGCAGACGTGAAGGTGTAACATCCCGTGGAGAATTATGAATGGTATCTTTCGAGGTCTATTTATGAACCAATCGCTAAATATCTAAACTATTCATATTTCCCTTATCATGAGCTTTATTTTGAACTATAAACCATTGTTATACGATTTACCATTCATGAATTACACCCAGTCTATTGATTACTGTTCCCCCTTATTCACAGCCACATTTGGCTAAATCTTGTACAAATGTTATTTTCCATTTTATTGGTACGATGTGGTCAATCTGTTTGGTATATAAACTCAGTATGTTTGAAATACAAGGGTTCATACCACAGAGGCTATTATTGGTGTTTTGAACTTAACTGGCTGAGCTAGGCAGAAACAGGATCGATAAGCGCTGTAGACTGCTCGTACGGTTTTCGTGTATCACTGTTCCAATCGATAATTCGCTGTTCTCTGATTGGCAGTTTTTATCATGTCATATGTTAAGAAGGCATCCACTCGGTTACAATTCATAACAGAGGGTGAAGATTGGTAAAGCAAATACAACATTCCTACAAATGAAGTACATGTGGAACTCAAAATAACTGTCAACTAATAACAAAGTCACAATCTTTAATACAAATGTCAACACAGTTCTACTATACCGAAATGAAACGTAAAGAATTAACACAATCATCATCAAAGTAATACAAGTATTTATAAACAATAGTCTACACAAGATACCTAATGTCCGTTATTGACTGGATATCTGAATGTTCTAACATTAGTATAGTTGTTATATTTAGTTTGTAAACGATACTGTTGAAGAGTCTGATGCTAGAACAAAACGATAGTTCAGTGCTTCCAGGTATTCAATGATGGTTTAGTTTAGATCGACATTCAACAAAAATCCCCTTACTGATATTAATCAAGACAATGATAATTAAGACTATCATCGCAATAATTAAAATCAACATTAATTAACTATTAGGCCATAAATATTGTTATGCCAATTTAGTTATCTCTATGGTCGATCAACTCCGAACGATTAAGTTTGGTTAGATGGTTAGTAGGAATTGTTATATCGATTGCTTGAGTTTGTGCATGTACCCTGTTTTATATATATGAATGTGCTGATTCCCTCCAATGAGAGAGGAGTGATTTATCGATCGGATCAATAATGCACAAAAGCCGTATGAGCAGTTTTGAGTACTTAGTGGTCCTGCTTTCTGCCTAACCCAGACAGTTAAGTTCAGAACACCAATAACAGCCTCTACAATATGAATCATTGTTGTCAAACATACTGGGTTTATATTACCAAACAAACAGACCACATCGTACCATAAAATAGAAAATAACATTTGTACGATGTTTGGCCAAATGTAGCTGTGAATGTTACTTACTTACTTCATGAAGCATGGGCCGCCGACCAGAATTCTCCAACCCACTCTGTCCTGGGCTTTCTTTTCTAGTTCTATCCAGTTTTTGTTCATTCTTCTAATGTCTCTCATAATTTTTCGGAGTAATGTGTTCTTTGGTCTTCCTCTTCTCCTTTGACCTTCAGGATTCCATGTGAGGGCTTGTTTTGTGACACATTTGGGTGCTTTCCTCAACGTGTGTCCTATCCACTTCCAGCGCTTCTTCCTGATTTCCTCCTCCACTGAAATCTGGTTTGTTCTCTTCCACCGTAGATTGTCGCTGATAGTGTCTGATCATGGGATCCTACGTATCTTGCGTAGACAACTGTTAATAAATACTTGTATCTTCTGGATGATGGCTTTCGTAGTTGTCCAAGTTTCCACCCCATACAGTAGAACTGTCTTGACATTTGTATTGAAAATTGTGACTTTGGTGTTGGTTGACAATTGTTTTGAGTTCCAGATATTCTTCAGTTGTAAATATGCTGCTCTTGTTTTTCTGACCCACGCCTTCACATTTGCATCTGATCCACCGTGTTCATCAATGATTCTGTTCAGATATGTAAAGGTTTCCACATCCTCCAAAGCTTCTCCGTCAAGTGCGTTTCGATTGATGCATGTTGTATTGTATCGGAGAGTCTTGCTTTTCCCTTTGTTGATATTGAGACATACTGCTGCTGAGACTGCTACTACACTGCTCATAAACTACTGCATTTGTTGTTGCGTGTGTGATAGAAGAGCCAGATCATCTGCGAAGTCTGAACCGTCAATATGCATCCCAGCTGTTCACTGAATCCCGTGCTTCCCTGCAGATTTTGACATCTTCATGATCCAGTCGATCACCAGGAGACAAGAGAAAGGGTGAGAGTAAGCAACCTTGCCTGACACCGATCTTTAGCTCGAACGAGTCACTGAGCTGTCCTCCGCGGACGATTTGTCAGTTTAACTCATCATAGAAATTTCGTATGATATTGAATATCTTCTCAGGTACGCCGTAGTGTCGAAGAAGCCTCCATAGTGTTGTCCTGTCCACGCCATCAAACACTTTCTCGTAATCAATGAAGTTGATGTACAGTGATGAATTCCATTCAATTGGTTGTTCCACAATGATCCATAGAGTTGCGGTTTGGTCTGTACACGATTGATTCTTACGGAATCCAGCCTGTTGATCTCGAAGTTGGGTGTCTACGGAGTACTTCATTCTGTCTAACAATACCCTGTTGAAGACTTTTCTTGATATGACCGCCAATGAGGGAGCAGTGATTCAGTGATCGGACCAATGACACACGAAACCCGTACAAGCAGTCTAAAGTACTTGTCGGTCCTGCTTTCTGCCTAGCCCAGCCAGTTAAGTCCAAAACACCTATAACAGCCTCTGCAATATAAATCATTATTTTCAAACATACTGAGTTTATATACCAATCCAACAGACCACATCATACCATAAAATAGAAAATAACATTTGTACAAGATTTGGTCAAATGTGGCTGTGAATGTGGGAGGCAGTAATTGATAGACTCGGTATAACTCAAGAATGGTAAACCGTACAATAATAGTCTATAGATCAAAATAAAGCTTATAATAAGAGGAACATGAATATGAATAGTTTAGTTGCTTAACAATCATACAATAGGAAATATACATATCATATTGGTCCACAAATAGTCCTTCACGTGATATAACAGAAATCTACAAGAATCCCTGGATCTAGAGTTGATGACAACATTCATTACTAGTTCATTGAGAGTCTATTGAAGTGATTAGTTATCAATATGTTTGTTATTAAGTGATATAAGATGATCCCATTACAGCTTAATAGATTAAATTTGATCTAAACTAAAAGATAAGAAAAACATGATATTCGTCTTACAATAAGTTAGTCTCTATCCAAATAACTCAATAGTATCATCTCAAAATGGGATACTAGGTGACCTACTTTTTGTTATATCCTGACGAGAATATTGAATAATAACTGTTCGTATCTGTTTATAGACCAATATGATGCATGTATTATTATTGTATAACCGTGAGGCGGAATCGTGGATGCTGACTGCTGAAGAGTCTCACGATAGGACGAAACGGCCATCCAGTGCTTCCAGGTTTTCCATGATGGTCTAGCTTCAAATGACTCATGATTTCAACCACATAAAATAACTAAAATCTCCACAAATTCCTCTTCTGATATTATATAATTATTAAGTAACTAAACTATAAATGTTCATATTCCTCTTATTATAAGCTTTATTTTGATCCATAGACTATTATTATACGATTTACCGTACTTGAGGTATGCTCAGTCAAATAATTACAGTCTCCCTCATTTACAGACAATTTTGGCTTGATCTTATACAAATGTTATCTTCTATTTTATGGTACGACGTGGTCTAGTTTAGTTTGTATATAAACCCAGTATGTTTGAAATACGTGATTCATATCTCAGAGGCTGGAATTAGTGTTCTGTACTAACAGACAGGGCTGGGTGGGAAACAAGGACCAATAAGGAATCTAGACTTCTCGTACAGGTTTATGCGTCATTGGTCCAATTGATAAATCACTGTTCACTATCATTGCACCTTCGCTTGCAATGGCGAAGGTGCATCCACTATTTGTGCTCTCCCAAATTCTAATCTTCTGAATTCTTCAAGTCTCTATCTTTTTTCTCTTTCCAAATGTATTTCACTGGATTATACTTCAAACCCTAATCTTTCGGATTAATGCTTATACTCTTACCAATTCTACCAATATGGGATTTGAATCGACAACTGCATCTCTGTGCTAATGTGGTATGGCAACTGGATCTAATGTACATACGTACTAAGTTCTACGTTGTGACTGACTGATTGACTGAATATCATTACAGTATATTATTAATACAGGTAACAGGGGCTACAAGTTATAATACTTTTCAATTCCATTAGGTACCATCATTCCCCTAGAGATTAAACAAAAATCTTGTTGATAATATACTAACTAACATGTAATTTGAATCCAATAGAAGTTCCTTTTCTATTACTTTCAATTTCTTTTTTTTTTCTTAAATTCCATTAGGTACTGTGAATTAGATGAAACTGGACGTTATCTATTAGTGACTATATTGAATGAACAACATTCACAGAATAAATTAATTTTTGGTTTAATTAATCATGAACGAGTTAAACTAAAAGGTCAGTTCTAATTTATCTTCATTTAATTGATTGATGGTTTAAGTATTGTACAGTTATAACCTGTTATCTTTGAATAGGATTATGTTATCATCTAGATCAGGGAACGGAACAACAAGTCTGCATTACAACAACAGGATAAGTTAAACTATTCCAATGTATTCCAGTTCTGTTAAGTAGAAGGTAAAGACCAAATTCAGCACAGGGGGTAAGCATATTCCACAAGCACTCAGAAGCTTGATCGAACAAGCACACAACTCAAGTGTATATATACAGAATAAAATCATCTTGGGAAATGTTACAAAATAGCATATTAAAAAGCGCGACTAACCAATGACATTTAGGGTCCTTCCAAGTGGGAGATACAATCTGAAGGTAAAAATGGGCGTCTTTGGCGAGAAAACGAAAAATTCAGATTTCCATAATACAGTTACAAAAATAAGGCATTTACCAAATGATTTCTGGGGGTATCTAGTACTTCCCACCCAACATAATCTATATCTCTTTTTAAATTAGAATGGGACAACAAATCATCAACAACATAAGTCTACAATTATATAACGCCATAATTAGGATCATTGAATTACTTATAAACAAAGATGGATAGTGGCTAGCAGTGGAATCTTGACTAGCTACAAGATTGATTTTCTCGAGTTTTAATAAGAGACTGACCAACAACAGTCTCAAACATCAATAAGAAGACTCAAGCAAACAATACCAATTGAATTTAAACTTCACCGCATTGCACAAGCTGAAGTCTATGAGGACTTACTAATTAAGTTGATAACGAGATCGCGTTTGAAGCGTACGGTATCGGGTTCAAGTCTTGGGGTAAACATCAACTGTGAGATGCCGGTGCATCCATCTGACGAGTCCCAAATAGGATGAAATGCACATCAGATTGAATTCCACTGCTAGCCACTTACCGTCGTTGCATATAGAAAATGTATATATTTTGCATATAATGAAGGAATATAGAATATAGAATTGCAAGCAAGATAATGAATGAGTAATTAAGTTAAAGCCATTATTACTCACTTCAAGATGTTTATCACCTCAACCAAGATGTTTGTATCATACGATAAAGATCAATCAAATAACCATTGGTTTAACGGTGTAATTCAATATTCCTCAGCTATCGAAAGTATTCATCTCAGATTATTTAGCTCATGTAAACAAATTTTTGGATGAAAACAATTACAATACTACAATTTTTATGAACCTTCTTTTTCCGCTCTCTCTCATTACAGAGTGAGAGAGAGAGAATCAGCACAGGCTGATTTACGGCATTATTGCTTCAGCTTACTTTGTGTAATATTGAGAATTATAACCCTCCAGTTTGACTTGTTAATAAACGACCTACATAGTAGATAGAAGAAATCGTACTATTACCAATACCATAACAAATCTGAAAGCTATAGAGTTGAGATCGTGAGTCAATTGAAGCTAGACCACCATGGAAAACCTGAAAGCACTGGACGGCCGTTTCGTCCTATTATGGGACTCCTCAGCAGTGCGCATCCATGGACCATGGACTGAGCTGGCATCCAACGGTGTTAATGTCTAACTTCAACTGATTCACGAAATTGAGCAACCATTCACCAATGTCATCAGTGAGTTACTATCTCACAACAGACCTGGTTGAACTCCACCGGTTACTGCTTCTCACTAGAACTCCAGGAAATACCTCAAGGAGTCAGTCACTAGTGAGCACATGATCATTGTCATAAGGGGTTTTGTGGAGATTTGGCTCAGTGGTCTATCGGTTAAGGGCTTCGGCTCGAAACTGGTAGGTCCTGGGTTCGAATGCCGCGAGAGTGGGTTCGTGAATGCGCACTGCTGAGGAGTCCCATAATAGGATGAAACGGCCGTCCAGTGCTTCCAGGTTTTCCATGGTGGTCTAGCTTCAATTGACTCACGATCTCAACTCTATAACTTACTAAAATCTCCACAAAACCCCTTCTGACAAATCTGAAAGCACTGGATAGCCGTTACATCCTAGTATGGGACTTCTCAGTAGTGCACATCTAAGAGACTGTCACTAGGAAGTGAACCCAAAACTTAAGATCTCGTGCGCAAACGCTTAACCTATAGATCAATGAGCTGATATACAATGGCATTGATGTCTAACTTCAGTGAATTCACAATAGTGCACGATAATGTTCCATTGTCTTTATTGAGTAAGTTCCTTGCAGCTCGACACAGTTTAGCTCGTCTGGTGCCGGTTTCTTACTACAGCTCCGAGAATTTCTTAACAAACATGGTCACTAGTGAGCTCAGTATATATCCAAACTAGAACATCAAAGTTGAAACAATCCGATGCGAGGGTTGCGTTTAAAGCACAGCAAGTTTAGAATAGAACAGAACATATTCGTTATTTTTATATGAAACGAACACTTATAATTCATAGAATAAAGCAATCACAAACCTTTAAGTTAATACTTCATAGATTAATGATTAAACGAAACAATGTCTTATTAAATACTTGAATAATCTTTCCTAGTTAGCGTCTTTTTAGCAAGTTAGTTTTCTATGGGATGGGGACGCTCCTCCTTTATCCGGGCTTGGGACTGGTAGCAATCCCCGGAAGGGCTACAGGCGGAGTTGTCTCAGTAAATAGCTTTCATAATTTATTTTGGCTAGCAGTGGAATCCAAGACGCGCGTTTCGTCCTATTCGGGACTCGTCAGATGGATGTACCTGCATCTCAGGGTTGACGTTCACTCTGGGACTCGAACTTAATAACCTTCGCTTCAAACGATTCCGCGTTATCCACTCGGCCACTGATTTCTTTCATTATTTATTATTGCTCCATTATTTTCTCTTTACATGAACATTGGAAACAACTTATGAGTGCCCCCCCCACGGGAATATTTAGTCTTTTTTCCCCCACCATTTTCAGTTTCATAATCATAGAAAACTTTTCTACTTTTTTTACTTTTGACATTAAGGTCGTTTGAAAATGATCCCAATTGTAGATGAATTCGATGCAAAATACAAATTCATCGGTAGTACTTCAACAGATTTTTATATTATGACTGATTTAAGTGCACCATTTAATAAAATTATTAAAGTTAATATCAAAGATCCTGATTGGGTAAGTAGTTAATACAATTTATTCATGATCTTAACTATATAAAATTACTAAAACCCCCTTCTGATAATGATCATATAATCACTAGTGACTGGCTCCATGAGGTGATTCCTGAAGTTCTAGTGAGAAGTTGTGACCAGTGGAACTAATCCATGTCAGGTAGAGACAGGTATCTACTTCAGTACAATGGAAGTTGGTCGCGCGATATCATGGATTGGTTGAGGTTAGATATTAACATCGTTGGATTCCAGCCGGCTCAGTGATCTATCGGTTAAGTGCTCTGGCGCGAGACTGGTAAGTCATGGGTTCGGATCCCGCGAGACGGGATCGTGGATGCGCACTGCTGAGGAGTTTCACAATTGGACGAAACGGCCGTCCAGTGTTTTTAGGTTTTCCATGGTGGTCTAGATAGTCAAGATTTGGTTTTATAACCTTTGAGAAGGATACACAATTGATTGAAAATGTGATTTATTTTTTTTAAGAAAAGATAATGCTTATTCATTACCTAGTTACTTAAGCATGTTACCTCTCATGGAAGAGCATAGGCCGCACATCAGCATTCTCCATCAAATTCTATACTGGACAATATGTTCCACTTATTTCCAGTTGCTATTCATCCTTTTCATATCTGATTCCGATTCCTAACATGGTATGTTCTTCGGTTCGCCTCTTTTTTGTTTCTCTTTATGAATCCAAGTTAGTTCTTGCCTCGTGATGCAGTCTGATCATTTCCTCAATGTGTCTCCTATCCACTCCCATCACGTTTTCCGAATTTCCTCTTCAGATGGAACCTAGTTTGTTCTCTCCCATAGTAGTAGGCTATTGCTGATGGTACCCAGTCAACAACGGACATTGAGTTTCTTGTGTAGACGAATGTTTATAAATACTTGTATTATTTCGATGATTGTGGTAGTTCTTCACGTTTCATTTCGGTATAGTAGAACTGTGTTGACGTTCGTATTGAAGATTGTGAGTTTGATGTTAGTTGACAGTTGTTTTGAGTTCCATATGTTCTTCAATTGTTTGAATGCAGCATTTGCTTTACCGATCCCCGCGTTCACATCTTCATCTGATCCTCCTTGTTCATTGATGATACTGACCAGGTTCGTGAAAGATTCCACATCTTCCAAAGCTTCTCCATCAAGTGTTATTGGGTGGGTGCTCTCCGTGTTGTAGTTGGAGATCTTGGTTTCTCCTCTGTGTATGTTAAGGACTACTGATGCAGACAGTTCTGCTACATTATTAGTCTTCCTCTGCATCTGTTCGCGTGTGTGTGGTGAAAGAGTCAGGTCATCTGTGAAGTTCGAATCTTTTAATTGATCCCTAGTTGTCCATCGTATCCCGTGCTATCCCTTAGATGTCGAGGTCTTCATAATCCAGTCAATCACCAGAATAAATAGAAAGGTAGAGAGTAGGCAGCCTTGTGTGACTCCGGTCCTTACTGGAAATGCATTTGTCACCTGTCTTTCATGCACCACTTTGCAGTGTTGTCCGTCGTATGAATTCCTTATGATTTTGGTGATTTTCTTAAGTACTCCATAAAGTCGAAGAATGTCCCATAATGTTCTCACATCCACACTGTGAAATGCTTTCTCATAATCAAAGACGTTGATGTATAGTGACGTGATCCATTCAATTTATTGTTCAATGATGATCCGTAGGTTTGAGATTTGATCTGTGCACGACTGATCCTTATGGAATCCAGCGTCTTGATCTCGGAGTTGAGCGTCTAAAGTGTTTTTCAGCCTGTTCAACAACACTCTGTTAAAAACCTTTCCTGGTACTGACAGTGGTGTGATGCCTCTGCAGTTTTAACATTTGCTCATATCTTTTTTCTTTGGTATCTTGGTGAGGTATCATTCTTTCCAGTTCGTTGGCACTTGTTCTTCCTCCTAAATTTTCCTGAATAGAACGTGAAGCATACTCACACTTACTTCAGTATCTGCCTTTAATACTTCAGATGGTATATTGTCAGGGCCGGCAGCATTCCCGCTATTGATTAATGCTTATTCATGAATGAATGTAAATATATTCTCCATTCAGTTTGCACAAAAAGCTTCCCTTTCACTTATGTAGCTATTAGTTGAGGCTTGTATACATGAAGCTTATATGTCAATATCAAATTGAATTTAACTAAAGAATAATGTAAAATCAGATAGTATTGATCATTTATTTTATTCTACGTTGAAATTCTACAATGATTGTACTCAGAAACTTGAAGTATAGTAAAGAGTGAATTACAATTAGGCTACTGAATTGGTATTCAATGATTGATATTATACAACATGAATCCGGGATCGTGGAAACTGCGTAGTTGGAAAAAATATTATTTCAAAATGCTGTTGTGAGATAGTAACTCACTGAAGACAATGGTAAATGTGTCACCATTGGATGGTAGCCGGCTCAGTAGTCTACAGGTTAAGCGCTCGCGTGTGAGACTGATAGGTCCTGGGTTCGAACCTTGCGAGACGGGATCGTGGATGCTCACTGCCACTGAGGAGTCCCACAATATGACGAAAAGGCCGTCCAGTGCTTTCAGGATTTCCATGGTGATCTAGCTTCAATTGACTTATAATCTCAACCATTGAAATTACCTAATTATTACCTTTCATGAACGTTAAGATAACATGTTTATACTTCATACTTTATTGGTATGTGTACAATTAGTTTATATTCAATATTTTTTTTATTCTTATAGTCGAATTGGGAAGATTTAATACCACATAATCCAATTAGAAAATTAGAATGTGCTACTTGTATCAATCGAAAGTATTTGGCTATAAGTTGTATAGAAAATGTCAGAGTAAGTAATTTATTAAGAATCATTTATTAAGTAAATTGTAATTATGTAGTTTTCAGTCCTACGTAAAAGTGACCCTTAAATGCTCTGGTACAGACCGACAGTGAGGAGAGTCAGCTTTCCCTCTCGAAACGCTCACACATCGGCACGCGTATATAACCGCTATCAAGGAAGTCCTGCTCATTGCCTTCTCGCGAAATACGTGTCGTTTACGAAATGGAGAGGACTACAAGCAAATGTCCGGTGCTTTAACTGGGTTGGTGGATACGGAGGATTCACCTAGAAGAGTTGGAAAACCCTGATTTCAAACTGATGGTGCATATGGGCTGCAGGATCCTAAGAGTTGATCACCGACTACTATGGGACTGCATCCCCTAACATTGTCCCACTGCCTGGTGGATTAAACCTTCAGGTTAAAGGCTCGGGGTGTGATTCCTAAGATGACCACGTGCTTCGGTCTGAGCAGCTGGTCAGTATTCCAGTTTTCAAACGAATCGAATAATTTATGTGGCGTATATTATGTTAAGTGTCTCTTTGTACCAATGTTCACATGTTTAAATAAATAAACGTCCGGATAGGGAGTGATTAGATAAGTAAACCAGGAATAATCCTCATATTCCATCATCTTTTGTAACAAAAAGCAATTATTCGATGTTTTCATAAATTTGGATGGATTTGGATTGCAAACTGATCTTATGTTTTAATACTCGGTTTTCTTCATCTACACAAATAGGACGCCAATTTACCTCAGACGAATATCTAAACTAGATACCGTCTCACTGTCTATTCTACAGAACTTTACCACTTCTAATCAATTTACATCAAGTTTTTGATAGTAACCTTTTTAACACCTCAATGTTAATTGAATTCATTGACATTAACAGACCTCACTGTTGTGATTATCATTAACGAATGAGGCTGGTCAGTGAAAAATTAGGGACAGTAAATTCATATAGACTACATCTATATTTTAAAACTATTGATAATGATTGAGGTTAAACATCAACACCATTGGATGCCGGCTCAGTGGTCTATTGGTTAAGTGCTCTGAAGCGAGACTAGTAGGTCCTGGGTTCGTATCTCGCGAGGCTGGATCATGAATGCGCAATGCCACTGAGGAGTCCCACAATCGGATGAAACGGCCGTCCAGTGCTTTCAGGTTTTCCATGATGGTCTATCTTCAATTGACTCACGATCTCAACTATATAAAAAAGATAATAGAAACGCTAAATTCAAGGTTTCAATTGGTTATAGAAATTATTCAATGAATTCTTCTTGATTAGAATGATCAGATAACATGACTTCTGAGCAACGCCTAAATGAAATGTCCACCAGCTTATTAGGGTTTAAATGAGGATTACATATTAACGTGAGGAATTAGGATTGGAATACACAGTTTGATGTCAGAGTTACAAATTAAATTTAAAATTTTCATCACAAACTGACATCAGTTAAAATATCAAAATGATATTTAATCAAATAAATGAATGTATTTCATACGAAAATTCAAAATCTACTACCTTTAATTTGATTGGTTCATTCAAACATTACAAAACTCACTGACCTTTGCCCAAGGTCAACGTAACGTTTCAAAAGAATAATTATCCTATTTAACCTTGATAATTGTTTGTTTTATTCAATCCATTTAGAGTATGATTTCTATTTATGATTGGAATACTGGAAGGTATATAAAAAATATTATAACTCCAATTGGTCGTATCTATTCCCTAATTGGTCATTATACAAGTAGTCAGGTATATTGTATATAGAATAATAATCAAATGTTTATATTAGGTATTTATTCAATTTGCTACATTCAATGAACCATGTACCATCATGTATTGTGATTTAAACAAAGATCATTGGGAATTAAAGGTAACTTGTAATTATTGATTATTGATTATGTAATCATTCATTTGGGTGTATTATTACTATTGTAAACTGAATACTGTTGTTCCCTTGGTATTGTCTGTTTGAATCTTTTCATTGATGTCTAAGACTGTAACTGGTCAGTCTCTTATTGGCATATGTGCGTATTGCCTCACCCTATTACACAAACGAGTGGCTATCAGGACTCAGTAGGTGAGTGGATAACGCGATGGTGTTTAAAGCGGAAGGTACTGGGTTCGAGTCCCAGAGGGAATATCAACTCTGAATCCTAAATTGGATGAAACGCACGTCATATTGGATTCCACTGCAAGCCGCTATCCATCTTTGTTTATGAATACTGTTATTCTTGTAGCACGTTATATTTTGATATTCACTTGGTAGCAGGAGCGATCTGAAACAACAGCACAACAGTCAGGATTGGTAAGTGTCTCTGAAGTAAGAACATCGTATGCTAGCACAACAGATTTATTTTTGAAATTGAAAGATGCGGTTCAAGTACAAAATAAGGGAAACTTATTATAAAATAGTTTTATTCGTTGTTCTGCAGGTTCAGATGGTGTACGGGGGGGGTGTTCCTCTTCTTACAGTTCGATTACTCTTTGTTGCCATGCAATAAAAAAAAGCGAACTCGCATTAGTAACTACATATGTAATGATTTTTAATAACGTTACATTATGTTTAATTAAATATGGAGCGAGACTATAAGTTATGGACGAACCAATCAGATTTAGGATGACAGATCCCAAATTTTGGCACGAAATTCATCCATCTATTTGACATTTGAGCTGATATCAGTTTATGATGAAAATCATAAATCTAATTCCTAATCATAACCATCAACTGTAAATCATTATTCTAATTCTTCATACTGGTTTATAACTCTCATTTGGCCGTAGTCAGTAGGTGAACATTCTCAAAGTCACTTTAACATCACTCAAAAGTCTCATTAAATATGGTTCTTTAAAATTATAGAAATTTATGATGGTATTTCCACCTTGGAGTCATATATGAAGAAATCAGAATATCTCATTTCTAGTTGAAATTTGTGCTGATAATGTCATTCACTAGAAGAATGAAAGCTTCAAGATTAAATCATTCAGGTCAAAGAATAAAACTATATGAAAATCATCTACCTGAGCTACAAATTGTCTCAACCATTCTTTATGATGGTACTTTACACTTGGTTTATCTTGATTTTAGAGTTGATTTAATATACTTGCTTCATTTGGTAAGATTTAGAAAGAGTGAATTTTGGATTGTTCAACAAACACCTTCTAATTGGAACCCCAATTAAGGTGACATAATTATCCAATACTGTTTGATCTTCAATTTATATTCACACAGTTTTAAAAGATGTACAAAATGACAATTTGTTCATTGTGTTTTACATCATTAGCATTCTGTATACTTTAAAGATGATACCTATCAGAATGTAAGCTCTCTTTGAACTAAAAGAAAACATACTTGCATGTTAATCATTCAGAAGTTATCTTTATCATTGCAGATTCTGCTTGATTACTCTTTCTTAAGTAATCTAATTCACTTATTACAACATCTAAGTTTATCCAGTGGATTTTGTATAGATTGGATTGGATTTCTAGGAAGTATAATGACCTGCTTCTTTCGACGACAAACGCAATTGGTGTAATGGAAACAATTATTATTATAACCAATTGTATCAGTGATTGTTTTATCGTACTCGTTGTTGTTTAACTGTATCAAAGTCACTTCTCGTTCCACTATCCATCTTGTTGGTTCAAACTTTTTTACGCTCTGCTCTTATTGCCTGTAATCTTTGGCGCGTCTCGGTATTCATTCGATACCACGAGATTGCCAATAAATATACTCTATCTTGTTTGTGAGTTATCAAAGGAACCAAGTCGTTTTTGGGCGCGTAATCTGATTGTAGTGGTAATAATAGTCACTCGCGAATCCACGCTATCTACTGAAGTATCCATCAAAGATTAATCTTAATTTGAGAACTATTGAAATCTAGGTAGTAATAAACAGCTGTTACATCCCAGGATGGAACTCCATTATAGTTCACACTTGAAAATCTATCTGGGTTTCTACCTACCTTCTTCAAGTTTCGCTTAAAACGATTAAATATTAGAACCACTGGGTTTGCATGTAGTAGAATAATTTATACTTCAGTCAGTTTACGATACAATGTGTTGATCATCCGATGTCAGTGATAAAACCTTTTTGACTTCCGACCTATCAGATATTCCCCAGCCACAACATTTCACTCGAATATCAGGAATATTTTGAAGTCACTTTTGAATTATATACGATAGGTTAGTTAAAGAGCTCTTATGACGAATGTTTTGATGAAATGTTTGTCTAGTGTTCCATGACTTCAGGCGGTAACAAAGGATCACTTGCTTAAGTATTCATTTACACATTCTTCACCTCATTCATGACAATTTCTCATAACTTTCAACTATTACTTCTTACCTTAATCCATTTTTGGTTCCACAAGACAGGTTCATTATTTCAGTGGTGTTGTGGTAACTCCATTTTGAAGAACGATGAACGAATTACGTACTTTGGCTCGAAAGGTATAAGTAAGCATATAAACACATAAGCACTGTCATACACTTAATCAACGTCACATATATAAATGATAGAATGAATGAATGGATAGACTGGAATGGCTCATCTATCTAAAAGTTAAGATAAATCGTTTAGGAGTGCTGTAGTACTAACTGTTTACCTCCTAAACTCTTAACCATAAATCTTAACGTTAATTCATACTTTTAATCTTAACTCCTAACCTGAATATCTCAATACTAAACAACAAATTCAAACCCTAACACTTAACCTTAAATTCCAATGTTGAGGATTTCATTCAATCAATTATTAATAGTTGAATTCATGAGTCAATTAAACCACTATGGAAACCGTGGAAGAACTGGACGGTTGTTTCGTCTTAGTATGGGACTCGTCAACAGAGAGATCGTAGGTGCTCACTGACACTGAGGAGTCCTATACTAGGACGGAACAGCCGTCCAGTCCTTCCAAGTTTTCCATGGTGATCTAGTTTTAATTGACTGATAATAAATTATTAGGTTATATTTACCTACTTTAATAATTGGCTTAGAAATAACTTTGTTTTACGGAAGTCAATCTATATTTCAATCTTTCATTTCTCTCCATAACAACAACAACATCAATGACAACAACAATAGGTATTCCGTAAATCTCAACCAATGGAGTTAAACGATAAAGAATATGAGATTAAACAAGTATTTTATCAAAGTAAAGATTCAACAACTATTCCAATGTTTATATTTCATAGAAAAGTAAGTGAGTACATATGAAGTTATATACAGTCAACTATACATAATATATACATATCTATACATATATATATCTTGATGGAGTTTTGTTCTCTGAGCTGGATGGTTTGGTCGTGGGGCTTTCATCGTCCTTCTGAACGACATCATCAGCACAAACTTCGGACGATGAAAGCTCCACAACCAAACCATCCAGCTCAGAGAACAAAACTCCATCAAAATCACCCACCTCAGGCCACAAATCTTCTCCACCATCTATCTATCTATCTATTCTAATACTCGAAAGTTCAAAAGTCTGGGTCTATTCGGTAGGTATATAATGTGTTAGGAGGTAAATGGTTTATAGAGAAATATGAGATTAGTAATCGGGACCATTGAAGGAACATGAAATGTAAGCTAATGATCTGGTGTAATAAAATGAAATTCTTATACATTTCTATATTAAAAGTCCCGACCGTAGCTACTACCTTGACATGATGGTCGGGTTTGCCTATCGTGATTACCCAACCGAGCTACATTGGCTGGAACGTATGTTTCTGTAGGTTCTACCATGTCAGGCAGGTCGATAAGAGAATGGTAAGACTAAAAGCAGCAACTCAAGATCTGAGGGTTGTATATTGAAAGTAATGAATAACTTCAGTTGGTGATGTGATAAGTACATAAATTATGAGTAGTGTATACATTTATAAAGGGATTTTAACTGTTATATCTAGAGCTTTGATTCTTACTATGCCGCGTACTATTAGACTACCTGAACGATCGAACCCGCAACGTCGCAAAAGAGAAGACAGAAGACTAGTAAGTAGGAACTTTATTCCCCAAAACAGTGTCAAATTATAGCACAGAAATCTCGTGTATTTATAGTTTTTGACTGAGAGTAAATCATCATTTCAGACAACCGATAGGGAAATAGGGGCCAATTTTATCCATTCAATGGGGAAGCTACATGTCGACATTCTAGAATATTCCCCTAGCAGTGACTGGATGGAATGTCTGCTGCTCTTTCTGGGCTTCTTAAGGCTTCCTAGTGTCTACTGACGATCCGTCCTTACAGTAACGCTCAATGATAAGGAGTAATAGCTGAATGAAGATAGGCTACCTAAAGGTCTAAATAAATTCTTGTGTATTATGCTCATCATTGAACAACGGACTTATCGAACTTTACTAAAGATGTATCCAAATGTTTCATACATTCCTAATACTCAATTTATTAGGTCATAAGTGAACTTAAACTTATCGTCAACGTCATTCTTAAGCTGATCTCAGACACAAACGTTAAGAAGGTTGAAAACTTTTTAAAACAATAGACCTATCATAATATTGATCTTGTGGGCGGGAGGTTTACATCACGATCTGACTCTAGTTAAACATACTTCGAAACTATGTAAAGATTGGAAAGCTTTTACGTCCTAGTATGAGATTTCTCAGAAAAGAGCATCAGAAATTCAATCAATAAGACTCGAACTAAGGACGTTTGGACCCTATAGTGAGAGATCGATATTGAGATTGCTGAATTTGTGTTCAATAGTTTACATTTCTAACTTCATTAAACTCGTGGTATTGTGTGAATATATTTTAATGTCATTGATGAGTAACCTAACTGAATCCCACTGGTTACATTTCACTAGATTTCCAGGAACTACCTTTGAAAATTAGTCATAGTTTTATGAAGACCCTGCATTTACGATCAATATACTATATGTTGTATAATTCTACAACTGGTAGATTTCTGTCCAGCTGTAAAGGACCATTGTGCCTCGTGAAACAGATGGAAATGTACTGAGAAGTGTGAGAATAAGAGAATAATTACATAAGTGGCATATGCATTCAGTAATAAAAGCAATTAAAAACCCTAGTTAAGGCTGTGATAAATGGGTAAATTATGAGTAATGTCTAAATTTAGTATATGAATTGCAATACCCGTCGATTAAAAGTAGTAGGTGAATAAAGATAGTATACCCCAAGGTCTGAACAATGGACTTATCATACTGTAGTTTGGGTATTCATGATTGTTTTTACCCAATCCCAACATTAATCAATATTTTATTGAATATTTAAATTCATTTATTCCTTAATGTGACCATTACATCTGTTACAGAACATCTTGGCTAGCAGTGGAATCCAGTCTGACGGGTATCTCGTCCCACTTGGGGTTCGTCAGCTGAATGTACCTGCATCTCAGAGTTGATACTCACTCTGGGACTCGAACCCACTTTCCATCTTTACTTATAATGCTTATGATTTAAGGCTATATTGAGGCAATACGCACAGTATGTACATATGCTAATAAGAGACTGATCAATTGCAGTCCTAAATATCAATGGGAAGATTCAAACAAACAATACTAAGTGAATCTTGTCTATATATTTTGATCACTATGAAATTTGGTTTCAGGTTTCCTTTTAATCGTCAACAAAAAACATGGAACAATGAGTGTTACAATAAGCATATTACCTTCAATTAACTAAGTTGGATTTTTGTTGTTTATAATTATTTCCTCATTCAATTTATGAAATATATTACCCAGTGTTTGAGGTACGAGTTGAACTGTCACCACTTAGATGCACAAAGTGGAAAGATACTTCTTATGAGATCTGACAAGAAAAATATGTTAGGAATGGGAGTGGTGACCTGTAAGGATGATATCAAAGCCAGATTATCAACTACTTTAAAGTGATCGTACATGTCTCCCGATGATGGAAATTCACGGATCAAGGTGATTTATGCTTTATTTCGGCTCATCCTTTTCTGACTCTCACCGTCAGTTATAAGAAGGCAACGTCGTAAAACATGCTACCTACCTGAATAAAACAACTTATTGTCGTCACAACCGCTGTTTTTTATACTTCACATTATTGGACTGAACTTCGTTAAACAAACGTCGAAACCATGAGAGGTTCACGCATTTGTTTTATCTTTGTTTATGATTCCTCATTAAAGTAAATCTATATCCTAACCAGGTATAGAACCTAGGATTTTCAAATTTGTGAATGGAACAGTCAACTTAGTAAAATGTGTGAGTTAGATACCATATAATGATAATGTTGGATGTTGATCGATCAGTATTGGAAACTGGCTGGAGTCCAAAATGTTTTAAGGTTCGTGGCTAACTTCACAATGATCAAATATTAATAGTATTTAAGCACATATTCTACTTCGTCAATAAATCTAGTTAATGAAAACGTGAATAGAAATAGTTGAATATAAATGTATTTGAGGAACATATGTTTCAGATATTCGGTAATGAAGATGAACAGTAAGAGGTGAAAAGTAATAAACGTGAATCTAAATAACAAAAGTAATCAAGTTAACTTTATAAAACGTGTTGCTGTAGTGTCGGTTTCTATGTTCAACCCCACATAGCGACCGACACTACATTACCTAATATTTATAGACATACAGGGAAAATAGGCCAAAGACATTAGATAAATAAGGTTGTAGCGTACAAGAATACATTGGGGGGGGAACAATCGAATGTATATGAATACTAAATTACAGCATATCTTAGCAAAAATCTTAGAACCATACAGTAAATACTTCATCGGCAAAATGTCAAACAATCGTCTTAGACTTCATTGCCCTTTCATTTCCACACCAACCATTCTCTGTTCTCATTCTCTTTTCTTTGATATTCTTAATCTTCTGCTGCCAGATATTTCACTTTCGATTGATGATACATACTATTTATATCTGTCGGCATCAGTAGCACACACCATAAAGTAAGTGATAAATAAATATGACATACATAAGCTCATGTAAACTACAATCAAGGTTACAAGTGAATAATTGAAAAGGTCAAATATATAACTCAAAAAGCTTAAATTAATTTATCTATTCAAGAATTACAAGTATAATAATAGCCAATCTACTACAATCTACATTCATACATACAACAGTGAAAATCGTGGATGTGCACTGACACTAAAGAGTCCCATACTAAGACGAAATGACCGTCCAGTCCTTCCAAGTTTTTCATGGTGGTTTAGTTTTAATCAACTCATGAATTCAACAAATAAATGTTGAACAATTCACTTAGTATTGTTTTCTTGAATCTTCCCATTGACGTTAAGGATTGTAACTGGTGAGTCTCTAATTGGCATATATGTACATACTGTGCGTATTGCCTCGATATTGCCTTAATTTACAAGCATTGTAAGCAAAGATGGATAGTGGCTAGCAGTGGAATCTAGGACGCACCTCATCATCGCACATGCAAGTGGCTATCAGGAATCAGTGTCCGAGTGGATAACGCGATGTCGTTTGAAGTGAATGGTACTGAATTTGAGTCTCAGAGTGAATATCAACTCTGAGATGTAGGTATATTCATATGACGAGTCCGAAATAGGACTAAACGCGTGTCAAACTGGATTCCACTACTAGCCACTATCCATCTTTGCTTACAATGTTGAACAGTTTAAACATGATTTTATGGGAACATTCTTATTTTCTGTTGGATTATGGTCTCATAATTTTCATTTTTTCTTTTGTTGTTGAGAATATCATTTTGAATGGTAGGAATCCATGTAAACTAAGTGCATTCGGTGGATTTGGTTACATTAATCAACCGTATTATTCAGCAAATGAATTATTATTTATTGAAAAATTTAATGGAATATTTGCATTGGCCAATATACGTGGAGGAGGGTAATGAATGATTGATTGTTTTTGTTATAACCCGTTTATTGATTTTTGAGTAGTTACTAGGGTCCTATTTTTCTAGTCCTTTAGTATTGATCGAAACCTGTCAATTAAGTTACAGTATGATTACTAGTCTAAGTGACTTGAAATTGAATGGATCATATAGAAATGTAAGGTCCCTCCCCTTCCAGCCAAACAATTTGGTGAAGCCTAAAAGGTTGTTCTGGAAAGAAATGCTACATCGAAACACGGTACGACTACCGGGGCTCAATAGCTGTTTTCACATTGCTTACACAGAATCATTACATCATTCTTTCTTTCTTTTTGAACCAACAATAATTATGCAATGATTCTTTGTAGCTTTCATAATTAGTCGTAAGTATAGGTAGAGTGGTTGATCAGGCTGATCTTCACCACCCATGTTACCACTCACGTTAGTACATGGAAACAGTCCCATGATCCAGAAGGCACGACGAGGACGTGTGAGTCAGATTTTGCCTCCCGAAATGTAAGGTAGTTGAGGATAATTGACGGGAATCTCCATACCACAGTTTCAGACTAATTCATATCAATCAGTTGGACCTGTATTTTTTGTGATGGAACAATCGCCTTCTATGGAATGCAAACCCACACTTCGCAGTCTTACAGTTTTAGACTTTATCAATGTTCCATTCGGGCTGCAACCGAATTCTTTTTTTCTAGCAAGTCATGGTTGATCAATTTTTAGTCAGATTATATAGTAATTCGTCATCTATTTATGGATTAGCATAAAATAATTATATTCTGTTGTTATTGTATCCGAGCACTATATCACTAAAGTGATGATTGATGTCGTCGGTCTGTTTTACCTCATTCTTGTCTATGTGAAAGTTGGATGGTAGTGAGTGAGTAATTGAAATGTATAGATCTGTGTATTTTCATTTGGAAATGCTCAATAGTGACTGGCTCCATGAGGTATTTCCTGGAGTTCTAGTAAGAGGCAGTAACCAGTTGAGTTCAACCTGGTCTGTTGTGAGATATCAACTCACTAAAGACATTGGTGAACGGTTTCTCAACTTCATAAATTGGTTGAAATTAGATATTAACACCGTTGGATGCCGGCTCAGTGGTCTACCGGTTAAGTGCTCTGACGCGAGACTGGTAGACTGGGTTGAAAACTCTCGAGGCGGGATGATGGATGGGCACTACTGAGGATTCCCGCAATAGGACGAAACGGCCTTCCAGTGTTTCCAGGTTTTTCATGGTAGTCTAGCTTTGATTGACTTAAAATTTCAACCGTTTCGTCTAAGTATGGGTCTCCTTAGTGTCAGTGAGCATCCACGACCTTGCAAGGAGTCTCCACAAAACCCCTTTCTGATAATAAACAAAAATAAGTTTTAAACTATTTATCTCCAGATAATAGATAGTCTATCTTTAACTATGAATCAGTTGTAATAGAAATCTAACATTGAACTAAACCTAATTTTAAGCAGCGATGGATAATGTCTAGGAGTGAAATCCAAGACTTACGTTTTGTCCTATTTGAGACTTATTAGCTGAATGTATCTACATCCCAGAGTCAATATTCATCCTAGGACTCAAACCCAATACTTTTCATGTCAAACATCATGACGCTGTTCAGATAATCTGAAACGCGAGTCCCTTATTCCAGTGTTAGCCAACACAGTGTTAGGCTTGTGACCTAATAGGAATATCAAACCAATCCGCACTGGATTTAAATATACCAAAAGTGACTAGTCAATTGCAGTGTTAAGGATCAATAAGACGACCTAACACAACCAATACAAATGAATTAAGCCTAATTTTACGGTAAATTATAATATTTTACGTTTTATGTGAAGCTATTCACCTTTGTCGTTTCACCAAACTGTTCTTATCTGCTTTCAAATTGTTCTTTAGAGAATTCGGTGAAGAATGGCATAAGCGTGGATGTGATGTTCATAAAACTACAGCAATCGATGATCTATTGATGGCTGCTGAATATTTAATTCAACGAAAATATACCAATCCTGATAAGTGAGTAATATATGTTTCATGTTATTATCTAGTTTATGCTAGTGGGCGGCCAATGTTCCTCCACGAGGGTGAACATGCGTAAGTAAGTAAGTAAGTATTATCTACTTTGTAGAAGGTTTATTTTCTTGGTTTGATACTATAGTACTTGATGCTGGTTACAAATGTGTTTTAACTGATTATTGTAACCAACCGATGCTTAAAGAGATCATTTAACGGTCAAGATTTCCCTAAGGAATGAAGATGACCTTAACTGATTAGCATTAAGCAAATAGAGACTTACATCAAAGATTTACTGGCAAAGGTATGAAGCTAATTAACATGAATAAATTTCAAATGATGAACGTTTCATATTACAATTTACAAATATTTAGATAAGATATTCAAGACATTATTATTAATATTATACGACTTGAGTGGACATCGTGATGGCGTTTGAAACAAACGGTATTGGGTTCGAGTCCTGGAGAGAACGTCAACTCTAGGATGCAGGTACATCCAGCTGACGAGTTCTAAATAGGTTGAAAGTGAGTCCTGAATTCCACTGCTAGTCACCATCCATCTTTGCTTACAATACTACTTACCAATAAATAACTAGTAGTATGGGTTTGTGAATGAAATCCTTTAATTAAAGAACACTTTTGTTTCAATAAACAAATCAAGTTTAGTTTTAGTTTCATAGTGGATTGTTAATGACATCTTATAAGTGCTCTAATAAGAATTTAGATTGATTCATGATTTCAATGAAATTTAACAATCTCCATAAACCCTTACTGACAATTATCACGTACTCATTAAAGACTAGCTTCGAGAGGAAGTTTCTAGAAATTTAATGAGAAACCGTGATCAGTGAATTACGAATGTCAACTTTTAGATCTATTTATCGACCAATGTATTATGCGTATTTCCTATTATACAATTGTTACGTAACTAAACTGTTCACATTCGTGTTTCTCTTATCATGAGCTTTATTTTGATCTTTGATTTATGATCATACGATTCTTGAGTTATTCTCAGTTATTGATTACTTTGGTTTGTATAAATACCCAGTATGTTTGAAATACAATGATTCATACCACTGAGGCTGTTATTGGTGTTTTGGATTTAATTGGCTGGGCTAGGCAGATCGCAGGACCGGTTAGCACTCTAGTCTGCTCGTACGGGTTTCGTGTCACTGTTCCAATGGAAAATTCGCTGCTCCCTAATTGGCGGTCTTATCGCGTCACACATTAGCAAGTCATCCACTCGGCCACAAGCATAACAGTAAAGCTAATCTCTTTCGCATGTGAGCCACTTACTCAGCAAAGGCGAAGGAGGTTGGTCGCGCAACATTGTCGATTGATTGAAGTTATACATTAACACAGTTGGGTCTCTGGTCAATGGTATGGAGGTTAAGCGTCTGCGCGTAAGATCGAAGGTCCTGGGTTCGTTCCATGTTATGGGGTCGTGAGCGTGCACTAGCCAGTATTTCTATACTTCTAGGTTTTCAATGGTGGTGCAACTCAGATGGTTTCATGATTTCAATAAAACTCATTTTCAGTGTTCATCATATTTAAACTAGACAATCCGTGAAAACCAGGAAGGATTGTGCATATGTTTTACCTTATTGTAAATGTCCCAACATACCTTAGCTATTCCATCTTAGGGATCGGACTCCTTAACTTAGGTCTAGTCAATTTTGCTCCATAATAAAATCTGAAAACTGGAATATCTCAGCTAAATCTTTCTATAGTAATAACAAATCCAATTACCGCATAAAATATACAGGTTTAGTACTTGTAAGGCTTTTTTAACTTTCCATTAATGAAATTTTATAATGCAACTAATTGGTCAGTATTATCATAGTTGAAATCATGAGCCAATTGAAGCTAGACCACCATAAAAAACCTGGAAGCACTGGACAGCCGTTTCGTCCTATTGTGGGACTCCTCAGTGACAGTGCACATCCACGATCCCACCTCGCGAGATTCAAACCCAGGACCTATCAATCTCAAATATATCACATAATTCTGATAACCATCGTCTTTTCATTGCATTATTGAAATTTATCAAAGAGATTAACTGTTTTAAATATTAAGCCTGTGTTGTTACATTTACATCCTGAACCAATTGTTTCAATAGAAATCTAGGCGTTTCAAGCTAAAGGTATTTGGTACAAGTCTCAGTGTGAATACCAACATTTGAAATCCAGGTACATACAGTTAATGAAGTTCAAATAAAGAGAAACACATGTCTTGGATTCTCCTGATAACCACAAATCAAATACAAGTTTGTATTTTGATCGTTAACACTAATCAGATATAGTTAATTCACAAAATTTATATGTGAAGTGTTAATGAACTTATTGCATGAAATACTTCTCAGAAAAGGGGTTTTGTAGAGATTGTAGTAATTTAATAGTTGAATTCATCATGTGCTCACTAGTGACTGGCTCCAAAAGGTGTTTCCTGAAGTTCTTATGAGAAGCCATAACAAGTGAATTTCAACCGTGTCCGTTTTGAAGCAGTAACTCACTGAAGATAATAGTGACGCAATTTGGTGAATTGGTTGAAGTCAGATATTAACACCGTTGGGTGCCTGCTCAGTGGTCTAGAGGTTAAACTTTCTCTTGTGAGACCGGAGGTCCTGGGTTCGAATCCCGCGTGGCGAGTTCGTGGGTGCCCACTTCTGAGAAGTCTCATGATAGGACGGATCTGTCATCATTCCTTCCAGATTTTCCATGGTGGTCTAGCTTTAATCGACTCATCAATTCAAGTATTAAAATACTTCTATGTTCATTCATTACTTTACACAGGATTGAACTTGGTGGTTGTAAGTATCATATCTTGTGTAATACTATTTTATATTGTTGAACATCCAGCTGATGACACTCAAATGGGATGAAACGCGCGTCCTAGACTCCACTCCTAGAAATGAATCGTCAGCTTTGAATATAATGCTTGTGACTTAAGAGACTTATTAATTCCAGTCTTAAACATCAATGAAAAGATTTAAACAACTAGTATAAATGTGAATAATACAATAATTTGAATTTTCAACTCTAACTAACCTCTTGATAAAGCATAGTTATAGTTTAATATTAACCAAAAGGTCCCATGTTTAGTCCTATGTACAATTTGTGTTTGCTTACTTACTTACTTTCGCCTGTTACCCGTCATAGAGGAGCATAGTTCACATACATCAGTATTCTCCATCCAACCCTGTCCTGAGCAATCTTTTCCAGTTCTTCCCACTTAACATTCATCCTTTTCATATTTGCTTCTATTTCCCACCATAACGTGTTCTTTAACCTTTCTCTTTACCGCTTCCTTTCCGGATTCCAAGTTAGGGATTGCCTCGTGATACGATTTGGTGATTTCCTTAATGTATATCCTATCCACTTAATTTGTGTTTCCTTTAATCTTAATAATCTAATGATGGCAAATGTTCAATGTTTAATCAGTCTTCAATGTATATCTGTATTGTTCTTTCATTAGTCTTATCTTACAAGGTCATGAAAATGGTGGTCTAATTGCAGTATCCTGTGCAAATAAAAAACCAACTTTATTCAAAGCAATCATTTTGGATAATCCATTAAGTGATATGTTACATTATTATAAATATTCATCAACTAGTAGATGGATGAATGAATATGGAAATTTATATTATGAAAATGTATTCAATGCATTATTAAGGTATGTTAATGTATATCATATAATGTATTCATTTAATCATTTATTCGTTGAATTCATGAATCCATTGAAGCTAGATCACCATGAAATACCTGGAAGCACTGGATGGTCGTTTCGTCATTGTATGGGAGTCCTCAGTGGCAGTGTGCATCCACGATCCCACCATGCGGGACTTGAACTTAGGACCAATCGGTCTTGCGAGCAAACGCTTAGCCTCTAGAGCACTGAGTCGATATCCAACGGTATTAATTTCTGACTTTAACCCATTCACGAAATTTCGCCACTCCCCATCATTGTTTTCAGTGAGTGACTAAGGTAGTGTTCAAAAGCTCAATGTAAACCTAAATGTCATATCTATAGCTCACTCCTGATTTATTTACTTCTCAACAAACTTATAACAAGATCACCAGTCCAAGAGATTCACTACCATGCACACAATGTACAGATATTAAGTGATCGAATATAATTGATTGAAAGAACTGAACCTAACTATCGAGCAAGATGTTCTTTATTAGTAAGGTGTGTCTAAAATGTTGTGAATTGAATATCTCCATGAACTTACAACCTGAATCACCAAGTGTTGCTAAAATGTTACTTCTGTGTCATTCAGACCACCACTGAACCACTGAGAGATTTAGAGAATTCAAAGTTATAAACCAGACTAACAGGTAATTGTTTACTTATCAGTGATCAGTCGGTGTATCTCACTCTTATAGGAGATGAATAGCTACCCAATTAGTTCAATGATAAAGCCTCAGGCTGTAGATAAGAGTGATGTGTATTCGAATCATACACTTATTCCTATTTCCTCAGGCTTACGGGTACACCCTGCTAATGTGTGTCTTACTTTTGTCATATAATAAACGTTTTTCATGTTTCTTGTATTCTGTTGTCACTGAGACTCTATACATCATAGGTTATTTCTGCAGTCTAAATGTTTGTCGAATAGTCGAATTTAGTTTGTAAATATATGGACTAAATTATTAAGACCTCAATTATTTAAACTGAATTAGGTTAGGAAAATCACATTTCATTGATAATAGGTTCATATATAGATGTGTTATAGACTTCTAGTCCCTATATGTTTTCTGATGCTCACTGATCAAAACAAAGCCATGGATATAAATGGTTAAGTTAGTTGGTTTAATACTAATCAGTAGGGTTGATACAATAAAGAACAGATAAGTTTTTCTCTGCTTTAATTCATCATATTACAACTTTGTATGAGAAAACTAAAGGAGAGTAAGAGTTTTCAGTAGTAGGATAAGAAATCTTATCATATTGAAAAGAACTTGTAAATCGTCACTTAAGTATAATCTCAACTACTGATATCTATCAGTTTGTCTTTCCGAACTCTCATTCGACTGACCTTGTCTTATTGATCAAAAATGGATCATGAACACCTAATAAAATGTGTTTGGATTGTTACTCATTATTATGGGTTATATCAGTGGTGAGTTATGTAAATTGTTGAGTTTAGATGGATATCATGAACGAATTAATGTTGGACCGATATTGAATACTTGGAGCCATTGATTAGCTGTTTTGTTCTAGTATGGGACTCCTCAGTGGCAGTGCGCATCCACGATCCCGCACATAGGACTCGAATCCAGGACCTTCGTCTTGCACGTGAATACTTAATCTCTAGAGCACAACGACGTTAGTTCAATCAAGGCCAACTCTAGATATGCTATCATAGTGATTATTTAATATAAAGTTTTGTTAATTATGGAAGCTTTACAGATGAGGAATGGAGACCTGACTTTATATAAAAATGAATCCATAACTACTAGGCTTTATCTTAACTATCAAAATTACCTTAAGTTGAAAACTGTCGTTCTGTTCTATTTTGTATCACTCCTAATAGTTATTCACCAATTCATAATGTACCAAATCTATCCATTACAAAGTCGTATTATCCTGCAGTGCTTATTTTGTCCGATCTACAAACTGCCAATGTAGAATATATTCATTCATTGAAATTATTAGCTACATTACAAAATGAATTACATAATAATGGTTGTACACTTAAACAATCAAATATTATACTTGGATGGTTTAAAACTGAAGGTCAATATAAGGTGAGAATTTGTATACATATATTGATTACATTCATTTAGCGTAGTTTCTTTGTATCTTCCCGTTGTTGTATAGGAGTGTAATTGATCAGTCTCTTTTTGGTATATGTAAATACTGTGAAGATTGCCTGGAGATTGCCTTAAGTTAGAAGCTTTTTAGACGAAGATGGATAGTGGCTAGGAGTGGAATCCAGGGCGCACGTTTCAACCTATTTGTGACTCGTCAGCTGAATGCACTTACATCTGGAAGTTGTTCACTGCAGGATTCCAACGCATTACTGTTGGCTTCAAATGCCATCACGTTATCCACTTAGCTACTGTGTTCTGATAACGCAATAGGGTTTGAAGCGAATGGCACTGGGTTCGAGTCCTGGAGTGAACATCAACTCTGCGTAGGAGGTACATCCAGCTTATGAGCCTTAAATTGGACGGAATGCGCATCCTGGATTCCACTGCTAGTCACTATCCAACTTTGCTTACATATATTGGTATTTAGATTGTTGGTCGAATTTTTGACAGATGATGAAATATCTGTGAGAACAATTAATGCAAAAATGGAAACAGTTAAATGTAAATCACACGAAATCTGAATGATTTCGAACATATACATACAGATTATGAATTTGATATGTTTTCTGGTTTGGTCCAATCACTATATACATTTGCTATAGGACAAGAGTTAAGTATAGAGTGTAGCGGTTTGCTTAAGCCATAGGATACTATTTGTATTAGGTGAACATTCAAAGTAGTGTAAGTGAGGAGAGTTGGGAAATAGAAGAACAAAAGAAAAGTTGAATTTACAATCCAGCAAGCGCATTCATGAACTTAGGCTTAATAAAGAAAGCAATCGACTACAATCAGAAATAACACAAACCTCAGATTAAAACAATCTTATAATTGAAACTAGAGCAGAAAGTTGAACCCACTACACAGGAGGAATCAGAATAAAACGACCGCTTTCAATATTCAGTCAGTTCTTAGCTAATCCGAAGAGAGTTGTTGCAAATAAAACACCTAGTGAAGAAAAACACGATAATGTTACAAAATGTAGTAAATGTAATGTATTTGTTTCACTGTTCTTCAGCTGACTTTGCGTGGAAACAGAAATAACACACATTAATTAGTCCTTATGGTCATAGAACATCTGCTAGCCAGAACCCTTAAAAAGACTAGAAATGATTTTGAATAGTCTTAATAGTTGTTTTAGTCTGAGTTATAAGGGGTTAGGTGTTGAGGTGATCCAAAGCACTTCCCGCAAAAGACAAGAAAGGTTCAGAAAACACTAAGAAGCATTTTATCCAATCAGCGTTCACTAGGCGTTTCGCTAAAGACATCACAAAAGTTAAAAGTCACATTTAGAGTTTCTGACTGGCTGATTACTATACTGTTACTATATTTAGTAGGATTCCAGAATTTTCGGGAAAACCCAAGGTCTTCTTAAATACTATAAAAACTTAATATTTCCTGTACATGAAGGAACATTTGGAGTGAAGTGTTTTTCACATATTTTGCGCCTTTTCTCTCGGGCTCAAGTTGCTGTGTAGAATTAGATTGTGGGTTACCAGAATAGCTTAGGAATCGAATATAGTGTTCATTTAACAAGACTTATCGTTATGGTTAGCGTTCTCATTACGAAATGACAACAGCTTCAACACAAAAATGCTATGTAGCAATAATCATGTATGCACTTAACGAGTAAATGCAAGTTTCTCTATCGGTTTAGTTCGTCCATAATATAAACACAATCGCCAGGCACATGTTTCTATCAGGATTGGGGTTGGAATTTAGATGTAGTGTTGACTCGTCAGTTACACACAATGTACAGGGACAGAATTCAAAATGTTTTGAAAGTTGCATATGAGACCTTGAGTAAGTGAAGAATTAACGTCCTCTAAAAGTATGTCTTGTTTTTAATTTCTTATCTACTGTTTGGCATATAGATGGAAAATGATGTGTCTTTTCTGTCCTAGTCTATCAGAACTTGATTGTCAAAAGACTTCTGATTAGCTGGAGCTACATACAAGCATTTCGGTTTAATATTTTTAAAGGCTTGTCTACCCATTTGCATTTTGAGAATGTTTCCTAGTTGTGTCTATTTATTTGAATACATATATGGTAGTGTAATCCACCTGTTATATATCTATGTATCACAATCAAGATACACTTTTCTGTACCCTAACTTGCAATAAAAAGCTTAAATAACAAAATTAGGTCTTCATGAATCTTGTAAATATAAATCTATTCGGTAGTGAAATCAATTGTCTACGTTACGCTCAATGCTCCTAGCTATTCCCTGGATAGAATTGATGTGTATGACTGGTTTACTAGCATTATGATTTAATAAAAAGCTGACAATGGGATCCAAAACTTTACTATACAGATGACCTTTAGAGAATTTTGAGTGGCCTTGAGATAGGCAATCAATAATCATTAATAAGTATGTGGCTTTTGTGAAAGAGATCTTAAATATAGGAAAACGACAAAAATACAAAGAATTAGGGAGTTAAAAATCATGAATTGAGTTATTATTGCCAGAAAAATTAGACCGGATATCATAGTTCTGTTATGAGCATAGACCCTAACTCTAAATGCTACATCTTTCAAAACCTAACTCCTAACCCTGAAGCTCCAAGACCTTAGCTACTTAATCGAAATGTTATGACTCCTGAGCTTGATACTTCTTAATCTTAAAACCTGTTAACAGTGGCTCCAAACCATGAAACTTCTAAACTTTAACTCCATACCTTTATACTTTTAACCTTATCAGTCCTAACCCAGGTACACTAATTCTTAGCGTTCATTCCACAAGGAAAACATCATCCAATGCCTTGGAGGTACAAAATATAATGAAAATCGTGAGTTTCAGCTACATGGTATTCGTAACAGCATTTTAAAATTGACGTATCGGCCTACTCGATTTTGATTGTTCACTCAGGGCCGTCGGAATAGTATAGTCTTATCACTCAACTTGTAACTTTTATCCTATGCGGTACTAGTTCCGTGGGTGAAGTTCCATCTCATAGTTGAATATTATCAGTGAGACCGGAATTCAGTATTTATTGTCTCCAATACAACTAATCTAATAGGTCCGAAACTACCAACTTCATCAACGGGGTATAAAGATAAAGGTTTATGTTTCCGCGTTCTTTAATATTCATGTTGTGAAACTCATAGTTAATCATCGTCAAAATATAGACATAACTTGCAATCAAATTGGTACATTGAGACATCTGCAGAAGATAATGTTATGTCTTAAGAAGACCTGATTTGTTGTAGCTTAAGATTCTAATCGATATTGCGTACTAGGTTCGTGTTATAGTATGTGCATATCACCATTATGTAAAAATATATTGAAATGAAGAGTATCAAAAAGCCAAGCCATCGATCCTACTTCTAGCCACTGTTTGAAATTGTATTAGTACCATAATGGCCTACTCAAGATTAAAGGTATTCAACTCAACTGTGTATTTTCTCCTATCAGTCCTTCAGTCTTAGGTTTTTTATTAGCTATCAAAGATTCCTTATTACCCGCACTAAGTTACTTCGTGAAATATATGCGACATATCGTGATTCCGATTTCTAAGAAACTGAGTAGTGCATATATTTCTTTTTCTGCTCTATTCTTTGGAGAAACAAGTATTAATTACTAGAAAACCAAAACACTTAATATGTTCATCAATAATAAGCATAAAAGTATATCATACTAATGGCCTTGAGTGAATCAACCAAACTTAGGAATTGACTCCCCCCCCCCATTAGTCCACAAAATTCTATAGGCATTGAAAGATAGCATATATCTAATTCTGAAATATGAAAAATCAATCTCATTTCTCAAAGTCAGTAAAATGGAAATAGGACTGCTCTTTTTTTTAGATTGTATCATTTCACGATCCTGATTCACACAATAGAGTCAGCCAGCTGAAAATAATAACGGACAACCAATTAACACTAAATGCCACTGTAGATAATGTGAAACAGGAATATAGCACTTAGATTATCCTTTAAAGAATTTAAACTTACTTAGTGGACATGATATGTTCTTGTGAAATCTTCGAAGATGCTCATTTTATTAAAGTTAATACATATATCCTGTTGTTTTTTTATTATTTAGATTGATAAAGTTACAAGTATCTGTTCATTTATACAAATGATCTTATCAATTAGCCGGCATAAAAGCAATCCTAATCAGTTTAATTCTCTTAGAAAAGTGGTAATTAACTCACAATAAACCCAATCATATTTTGCTTAAACTAGATAGTTCATTATTCATTACGTTTTTCTTTTTGTTTAAATGGAATAATTATCTATTGTAAAAAATGCAATTAAAAGTACGATATATTTGAAGTTTATTGTAAAGCTTGTCTCATTTCATCATCGTTTAGGTGATATTTGAGAGTGAATTCAGCCTGTGAAACATTTTAGTCACTGACTAATATTATTCCGAAGTTCATTAAGAACCATAGTGCACAGTCACGATATCCTCTGGGATCCAATTTATCATGATCAAAACCTGTAAAGATCATGACACCTTAAAAATATATTATACATATCTTGTAGTTCAAATTTGTTGTTCCGATAGGTTTTTGATAGAGATACAAGATCAATCAGGACAGTCGATGTATCATTACTGAGCTTCCAATGTAACCGTAGGTCCACATTATTGAGGAGCCTCAACATATAGTGAAACAGTTGTTGGATAATAACTGTTGTACAGTAGTTCCTCGAGCCACCGTTGCTCTAACACTGAAATTATCTTCCAAAAGCCAACAAAGATCTTATTTCAGTGTCTTACCAACAGTTAGTTCAAAGAGAGTGTAGGCTACAAGGTGTACAATTGAACTCTAGCCAAATCACTCACCAAGTCTGATCATAGCTAACTTATAGAATCGAATAACAGATATGAAATTGTTAACCGAGTTTTGTCAAGGTTAAGCATAGATAACGTGTATTGATCAATTGACGACATGAATCAGTTTATGAGGTAGTGTATCCATACTCTATACTCCTCTAATCTGTTAAACCTTGTATGTGATATTATTCTGCCCTTTACGAACTCTAAGTAAATAAGATAAGAAGCCCATCCGATTGAGATGAGTCAGATTCGAAACTCTATACTTGGTGTGACTTTGACGTAATATTGCATAAATCAAACAATCAAAATATAAGTATTTATTAATTGTTATTATCAAATCTGGTAAATCATAGTCAATCTTCATAAAACACAGATTTCTGAATTGAACTAAATTGTAAGATCCGAACTAAGGTTTGGCTGAAGAATAACTGTTTGGGTAGTTTGGACACGCGCTATTGCCCAATTGAAATCAAAACAAAGTGATTGGGAAATTAACGGTTATAAATAAACATTACCGCTCAGTTATTCAACCAATAATTGTTCCCTCAATAATCGATTCAGCGCACCAAAAGATAAGCGTTATTCCACCCTTTCTGGATAGATCCATTCAAAAGATAATATTTTGTTGCATTATAACACAAATGGTTTCCAATTCCGGAAATGTGCTTCAATTAAAGATCAAAATGCAAAATCACGGTCAATTCAAGCAACACAGCCAAAGAGAGAAAAATCGATATGGCTTCCGCCAAGATTGAGTATCAACTGAAACAACATAGATACAGTTCAGGAAAAAATATGGAAACTCAGTGAACGCGAAAGAAAAATTAAAAAAAAACTGTAATATAATAAAATCTTACCATTTCTAATGGCATCAAAAAGACTAACAAAATGTACGAATAAAGAAACCAATAAGAATAAGCTGTAAATGTAGGCATGGAGGTATTTTCACACACAAAACATTCGAAATAGATCTTACATAAATAGAACATGAGCATTAGTCATTGTGAACCCTGACGAGTTATAATAAACAAATCGTCTTTGGTTATTGCATCAATAAATTTAAAAGTTGTTTTGATTTCAAGACAGACAGTTTTGTGAAACTACGTTGGTCCCCTAACATCTCTAACAAACTATGGCACATGGATAAAATACAAATATGTGGCTTTTGTTATAAGAGAGTTTTAGGGAGACATCAACACGCTCAGTAAAGATTACTTGAATCAGTCATATAAATATCAGATACAACACACTGCTGCAATATATTCCAACCGTAAAGGTACGGATTAGTGTTATTGGAGAAAATTATATAGTTTTATCTATCATAAATCATCACTGTAGAAGTCAGTCCTTTAGCTGAATTTTGAAATATTCGTTACATGGTTTCTCTTTGCCTGGTTTGTTTAGTTTCTTATCTAAGAATTCTGCTTTCATTATCATCCTTTAAATTATTTGTTTGTTTCTGGACCCTAAATCATCCATATATTTGATGTTTGCAATAAGTTCCTTTCTGTAATTTGATCATTATAACAAAATTTTGGTAAATATGCATTTACAGACTCCACAATTTGCTAATTGTGTTCAAAAGTTTTATGAGTCAATTTAATCTGGATTTACAGTCACAAACCCGTAAAATTGTGTTTTTATCGCCTTGATATAAGAAATTTCGGCTTGTCAGTTTGCGATTGAGATCATGGACCAACTGACGTTAGACCACCTTCGAAAACCTGGAAGCACTCAGACCCAGGAAATTACTAGGTTATGAAAACATATACCTTACTATTTTAAGACGGTGCGTAATTATCCCCCATGAGTTGGACGTCAAACTATTCTCACATTCATTGGATTTAAAATACTACTCAAAAGCTTAGAATGAGGTTGATCCTTCATTGTGTTTTCAAAACAGGGATGGAAAGTGTGTTTGACGATACAGATTAGTATGTGTTACTTCAAGAATAATCAAAAGTGTTGAAAACCAGGCTTATCAATGCAAATGAAATTTTCTGTAAGGTGTACTTTGTTCAGAAAAGTCAGATACTTCAGTTCATGGATGCTCCCAAATCATCTAATGATGCTGGTGAATTTGATGTAAAGCAGCGGTTTAGAATTTCGGAAATATCGAACCATGTCTTATACTCTAAGGTCACAGCGAACAGCTCGCTTTTTCAGCGGCAGTTTTTGTGCCTGAGGGTAATCTTGTTCTATTGATGGAAGAAAACAGTCGAGTAGTGAATAGATCTTTATTTTTGGTCGTGGGAGTCGCACTGAAGCGGGGGGTTATCTGTTCAAACAAACAAAGATTTTCAACATTCAATATACGATAATAGGAAATATAATGCCTATACGAAATAAGGAAGTGAATGAATACTTGAGCTCCATTGCTTTAACATATACCTAGCTGTTTGAGGTCAACTCTCAACTAAACAACCTAAGCTGCTACAAAGTTACCCAATCAGCATCATGTCGCAATACGACAAAACTTTCTTTTCGATGGGATACCTGGATAGCATTAGCAACTGTGAAGGAGACTCACCTAAAACCTACGCTTTTCCGAGATTCGTCTGAAGACAGTGATATATGCTGAACATTAAGATGGTCATAACATTATTTCAGACCTAATCCGTCCTAATCTGAGAATCCACCATATCACTCCAATCCATTTCTCTTAAATAGATCTAAACGCTTAGTGAAAAGTCTGAAAAGGGATTACAGGATGGAGGAATGATTATAACGATGACCTACTCATTGGGCTGAAACTATTCTACCCATGTCATATGAAAACAAGAGACTATTTGATAAAACGTATTTAATATTTCGACTCAGCTCATGAAATATTGTCATCTCAGAGTTATACGCTTTCGTACTATGAGTTTGTTGTTTGAGATTATCTCTCATTTAGTAGTACCATAACTTCTTCAATAGATTGCCTCAAGAAGAGATCGAATAACGGCATATGTGTCAGTGGATTATCTCTTCACATGTTGATTAGCATGTAGAACTATGGTCTAATTCTGTATTGGTACATTTATTATTGCTAATATAACAGACCTAATCCCAAAATTCTATATTCGTCATTGTATGAACAACTAATCTATAAGATCTTAGGTGCAAGTCACATAATTATCTATACTGGCTCATCCCACAGTGACATTCAGCATCGATTACGAGCACTTGTGAAGAGCACATTTAGGCCGGGGACAGAATGATATACGTAGTGTGAATAGGAGTAAGTTACACGGAACGACCACGCCTGCGAGGCCGGACAAGCCATACCTAACATTTCTTCCTGCATTCATTACTTTCTATTGCTACATGTTGAATGTCAATCTTTTCAGTGAGTATACGCTCGGATTTAAAGATCATAAGGTTAGAAACCAATATCACCAAACCACTTTCCCACCAGAATCAACATGATGTTGGTCCGATATCAAATGTAGTGAGATTGTCGCGTGCGATGGTTACCAAAATAAAATACAAAGTACGAAGCCTTGCTATGCTCATTAATCCATACTCCAAATGTCTGGCAACATCTCCGTCCTTATCCCGTTAAATATTCTGATTTTATAAACTATTATTCCCATTTTTCTGCCCATATCTACGTATATTTAGGGTCTTGTGTTGATAGCTAATAGTTCTAATAAGCCTAAGGACCATAGGGCTAATAAATTCACGTATCACTTGACGATTATAAGCTCCTCATACCTTTCAGATCCAACAGGTGTATTGCAACCCTACTATTACACTACCTACACTGGACGATATCACTGATCTAAGCAAGCTTTCAGTAACAAGACTACAGCCTTGAGAAGTCAGCAACAATACAATAGCCCAGATTATTCGAAACGAGAATCAAATCATTTTTATCTGGAGCTCCGTTCATTGTACTAGTCACCATTATACCATTAATGGTACATCTCTGCCACGCGTTCATGAGCACAAAGACTTAGGAGTAATTATAAGTCACGACTTAAAAACTACTACGCACTGCAATGCGGTTCCTTTCAAAGGCTATCGCGCGCTATGGTCGCTTCGCAGAGCATTTAAATGCTTTGACGAGGATAGGCTTCGAATTTTATATCCCACCTATGTAAGGCCACACTTAGAATACTGTGGGGAGTAGTGTAACGTCGTGTACTATATTACACCTACATAGCTTATTCTAGTTTCTGGACAAGCCAATTCACCTATAATGTTATGAGTCATATTTTGATCTTGTTAATTAATCCGTTATTGACATTGACTATTTTTTATATGAGCGTATGCGTATGTACCCTGCTTATCCTACCTATCACATGTCTGTCATCCATTTTAGTCTGACAATAAATGTTGATTATTGCTTGCTTATAACGAGTTGGCTTACCAGCCATCTCCCATGTATGTTACTTTTTCTTCGCTCGCTAACATTTACTCATGTGCTTACTGCCTTCTAGCCTATGTTATTTGTCAATAAAAACGTAGTTGCCATTTCCCTTTGTCTCCTGATATTATACACCGTTCAGATCGATATAATAACGGTTATCGAGACGATCGATTAATGAAGCACTACACTACAATACTGTATCCAAGCCGCTAGCCCTTGTCTGATAAAGGATACTAAATCGCTTGAGCGTGTCCAGCGTGTAGGGACAAAATTAGTAAAGGGTCTTTCTAAACTCCCTTACGATGAGCGTTTAAAACGTCTAAACCTTTTCCCCTTATCTTATCGTAGGACGCGAGGTGACCTTATACTTGCATTTCGTATCTTTAATTATCATCTGGGTGTTAATATGTCTTATCTTTTTGCTCCCTCCAGCACTAATAATCTCCGGGGTCATAGCAAGAAGGTTCTGAAACCGCCATCTAATAAACTAAAGGTGGGGTCCCGTTTTTCTCATCGAGTGGTCAATGACTGAAACGCTTTACCAGAACAAGTGGTATCAGCACCATCAGTGAACATTTTCAAAAAGAAGCTGGACCTTCACTGGAAGGAGATCTGTCAGGATTAACACAGGTTCATCAACCTACTATCCTTATTACTGAAGACTGAATGTACAGAATAGTTTATCACTGAAATTCCCCACCAGAACTCGTAATGTCAGAATTTTATGTCTGTATATTCAAGATTACAATGGGTTTTTGTAATATTTACGGTAGGTACGTGGTTTTTCTATTCTTATTGGATTTTCTAATGTTGAATAGACTGCATTGTTCGCAGTCCGTTTGACTACTGCGTTACAATATTTGGGATGTGGTTATGACCTAAGTTGGCTTCAAAGTTTCTGGGCGTAAGTATAATTTACGAATTTCGCTTGATTTTATCTGTTCGTTCCACATGTTCTACGCTTATTGCAAGTTATCTCCTGCTAATTATTCTGTACGTCCTATGGTCTGAAATCATATTTTTCTATTTTGTTTGCAAAGTTATCCACGTTTCGTGTTAAGCGAAGCAGGATTACAGTACCAAAGTTATTTTTGTGAACACTTCCAGCTAAGTGCACTTTTGTAAGTGTACAACTATGTTCTATTGCTCAAATTACTGTCCAGTCTTCAGTAATAAGGATAGTAGGTTGATGAACCTGTGTTAATCCTGACAGATCTCCTTCCAGTGAAGGTCCAGCTTCTTTTTGAAAATGTTCACTGATGGTGCTGATACCACTTGTTCTGGTAAAGCGTTTCAGTCATTGACCACTCGATGAGAAAAACGGGACCCCACCTTTAGTTTATTAGATGGCGGTTTCAGAACCTTCTTGCTATGACCCCGGAGATTATTAGTGCTGGAGGGAGCAAAAAGATAAGACATATTAACACCCAGATGATAATTAAAGATACGAAATGCAAGTATAAGGTCACCTCGCGTCCTACGATAAGATAAGGGGAAAAGGTTTAGACGTTTTAAACGCTCATCGTAAGGGAGTTTAGAAAGACCCTTTACTAATTTTGTCCCTACACGCTGGACACGCTCAAGCGATTTAGTATCCTTTATCAGACAAGGGCTAGCGGCTTGGATACAGTATCCTAAGTGTGGCCTTACATAGGTGGGATATAAAATTCGAAGCCTATCCTCGTCAAAGCATTTAAATGCTCTGCGAAGCGACCATAGCGCGCGATAGCTTTTGAAAGGAACCGCATTGCAGTGCGTAGTAGTTTTTAAGTCGTGACTTATAATTACTCCTAAGTCTTTGTGCTCATGAACGCGTGGCAGAGATGTACCATTAATGGTATAATGGTAACTAATATCGTGCCCGATATGCATGAACACGCTCGTCCTGGAATTAACTTCCAGGCCCCAATCATGAGCCCACCTAACTAAGTTGTCTTAATCTGCTTGTAGATAACAACGGTTGGTCTCATTTCTTATTGTTCTACAGATTTTAACATCATCCGCAAACAATAACGTCGACGACTTAAGTAATAAAGGTAGTTCATTAATATACAGAAGGAAAAGTAAAGGGCCTAAGATGGTGCCTTGGGGTACACCACTTTTGACCGGTTTCCATTCGGATAGAGTTCCATTGACCCTCACTCTCTGTCTGCGGTCCCATAAGAAGCTTCCTATCCATTCCTGTATAGCACCTGTTATACCAAAGCATAAGACCTGAGTGTTAAACCTTAATAACGCTTTGCTAAAATCTATGAATATCACGTCGATAGACTGGCCGTTGTCTAGTGCAGCTGTCCAATCTTCTCTCGCAATGAGTAAGTTAGTCAAGCATGAATGCTTGTTACGAAACCCATGTTGCTCGGGAGTTAACAGATTGTACGAATCTATGTGGCTCAGTAGCTTAGCCCGAATTAATTTTTCAAGTAACTTAACTACTATACTGGTCAGGCTAACAGGCCGGTAGTTATATACGATCCGTCTCTGACCATCCTTAAATATAGGACTAACTATGGCGTCTTTCCAGTCTCTAGGTAGTTGAGTCTGTGAAAGGGACATGTTGAAGAGCATCGTAAGCGGTCTTGAGATAATGTCCGCAAGCGACGACAGCAAACGTGGGTGTAACCCATCGGGGCCCGGTATCTTACAAGGTTTTAGGTTAGTTATCAGAGGAAGAACAATATCCTCTGTCACGTGCAAAGGTCCTATGGCTGGTATCTGATTGTCAACGGGACAAGTAGTTGTAACACTACACATAGAGTAGACTTCACTGAAATAGTTTGCAAATGTCTCCGCTTTCGCTAGATCAGATTCAGCCAATAAAGCTGAATTTTCGCTTAACAGTAATGAGGGGATACCATCACTAGGTTTCGTCCGCCTTTTAACATACGAAAACAGTCGCTTCGGACAGGTACGGCTATCGTATGCCAACTGTCGTTCGTAAGCCGTGCGGGATTTAGCTATGGTCTTTTTACATATATTCCGGATTTTTTTTATATTCGCACTTAAATGATGCCTGACCTGTTGACAAGAATAAGTCCCAGAAGTGTTTCCTACGCTTCAACAGCTTCCGGGTTTCCTTATTAATCCATGGGGGGCAATATGATAGCTTACGTGCTGATCATGGAATAAACGGTTGAGTTACGGATTCGAACGTAGACTTGAACCTATTCCATGCATCATCAATCGATCCATCAGCATCGACCGACCAGTCAATTTAGATAGCATAGTCCCTTATTGCCGGAATATTAGCTCTCCAGATATTAGGACGGGGTGGAGCAGATGCAAATTCTATACCATGTATCCGGAACTTAAAGGAAAGTACGACATGGTCACTATTCACCAATGGGGGAAGGTGTTGAATGTCGACGATATCTTCACAGTGGTGTGTGAGGACAAGGTCTATCAATGACGGATTATGTTCCAAGTCTATATGCGTCGGCTTACTCATCAGCCTTTGTGGTCTGGTGTGTGACGAAATCTCAGCACGGATACAGAAGGCTCGTCTAGCTTTCGCCAACTTGCGTCATTTATGGCGTAGGCGAGATATCCGTCTAGCAACCAAAGGACGGGTTTACTGTGCAGCAGTTCGCTCCGTCCTACTTTATGGCATTGAAACATGGCCAATAAGAGTAGAGGATATTCGTAGGCTACTAGTGTTCGATCATAGGTGTTTTCGAAGCATTGCTCGTATATCCTGGGACCACCGGGTAAGTAATGCAGTTGTTAAGAAACGGGTACTAGATAAGGATGGCAAATCAATTCATGAAGTAGTGAAACTTCATCAGTTGAGATGGCTGAGACATGTGTTACGTATGCCCGACCACCGACTGCCCCGACGTGCAATGTTTCATGGTGTAGGAGTAGGTTGGAAGAAAGCTAAAGGCGGCAGACCAAAACGTGGCACAAATCCATGAAGTCACTGACAAGTGGACTGGGCCATGTTGGTAGGTGTAGACTACCTGGTTGGGATTCGCGAGATGACAGCAACCGATGGTTAGAGACCTTGAATGACATGGCTCAAAATCGTTTGCAATGGCGAAGGTTCATCCACTCTTTGTGTTCTACCAAATTCTAATCTTCTGAATTCCTCATGTCTTTATCTTTTTCTCTTTCCAAATTTATTTCACTGTACTATACTCCTTCAATAATTTCTTCAAACCCTAATCTTTTGGATTTCTGATTATACTCCTACTAATTCTACCACTATGGGATTTGAATCGACAACTGCATCTCTGTGCTAATGTGGTATGGCAACTCGAACGTCGTTTCCTGTCGTTTCCTGTACAGTTTAATAACTGGTCTACCGTCCAACTATTGGTTCAGTAATTATCTAAAGACGGTTCGGTTAAACACACTTTCTACAACACTAACCCTAATTGTTGTGCATAACAACTGTGCGTAAAACTACAATTTCCATGAAAATGGCTTTTCAGTCATCTAAGTATACTGGTCAGGAATAATACTCTTCAGGATAGCGTTATAATCTTTTCAAATGAAAGTTGTACAACCGCATATCAAGATAACGTTACTATTTTTATATTCAAATTTGTTGTAATAATATGGTACCACTACGGTCTAGAGCGCCTATGATTTTCTTGATCTACCAAAACCCTCAATTGAGAATCGCTTTCTAATTTACTGAACATAAGCTAGGAGGGCGGTTACCTTCCAAGTAAGCTAGTTATAGGGTAGACCGCTTTACGCTATTCTGTTCTGTACAGACCAAACATAAAACCTGTACTCATTTTATAATCCACCAAGTGATCAATCATACTGTGGTTATCCATCCCTTTGTGATATGTAATGTCTCTTGCACATTTGTGTCGGGTATTGCATTGTGACAGATTGACTTACTCAGTGAGACTATGATTTATGGAAGACCTATAATCAAAACTAGAGTGACCTTGTAGCAATAAGCATACCAGGGTCATAAATTATTATGCAGAATAAGGATTAGGATTTCTTTGCAAGACTACAATTTATGGACTAACCAATTGGATTTAGGATAACAGATCTTGGACTTTGGTTAAATAGCGTTTTGGCGTTTTAGTTGATGTCAGTTTGTGATGAAAACCATGAATCCAGATCCTGACCCTTACCATCAACTGTAAATCATAATCATTATTACTCACACTAATATATAACCCTCATTTAGCCGTAGTAAGTAGGTGAACATTCTCACGGTTACCTCAGCGTCGCTCAAATGTCGTCCATAAATTATAGTCTCGTCGATTTCCTCGTAGTGGACGTGACTTCTTTGGCTGGAAGAATTTTTGGTTGTATTTCTTCTAGCTGAAATGCTTATTCTATTGTTATTTCATTCTCACACTAATCCTTATTCATTGTGCTTTTTTATTATAAGCGCCTTCAGTCAGTCAGCTACAACGTAGGACCAGGCACATATATGCATCGGTCCAAGTTGCCATACCTCTTTAGCACAACAAGATGAACACCGGATTCATAGAAGTAATTAATTTAGTGGTGGTAGTACATAAGGAAAGGTTGTATATAAGGATATATATATAAGGATATAAGCGCCTTACCCTCTTCACAACCTTATTGATATGTAACTGATTATGAATAAAGTAGTCTTGATTACTGTTAGAGGTATGACGGTAGTTATCACTTCCCGGTTGCTCACACCGTGGAAGGGTCCTAGAGATACCTGAAAAGGAAATTGGGTCGGGAGTGGTCTTAGTTACGTGAGAGTGTGACCGTAGTGCCCAAGGAACAACTGCTTGAGGTCGGTCACACTGGACCTTTTTGAGAGTCGTTTCCGTGTTAGCTCCGTATTTGTTGAAGTGTGCGTTTCTAGGGTCGATCTTTCCTAACTCCATCCTTCCTTTGTGGGAAGGAGACATCGCTGTTATACTGGTTGTCTGAAGGAAACATCTTAATGACATCACACCTCTGTACAGTGAGCAGTAAGACTTCGCCCTCGAACCTTGGGTTTGCTGCTTTTAGTCTTACTGCTCTTCAACCGACCTGGCATAATAGGACCCTGTGGAACGATTGTTCCAGCCAGTATAGCCCGACTGGTTCATCACTATAGGCAATTCCTACCACCACGTCAAGGTTGCCCCCTAATGCCTTGGTACGGTCGAGGGTGGGGAGAGTCCGCCTTTCAAATGCTATCACATGACCACGCGTATATAACCACTGTCAGGGAAGTCCTACTCACTGCCTTCTCGTGAAGGGAGTGTTGTTTACGAAATCAAGAGGACGACAACCGAATATCCGGTGTCTCGACAGGGTTGTTTTTATACGGAGCATCCACCTAGGGGAGTCAGAAAACCCTGATTCCAAACCAATGTTGCACATGGTCTCCAGGATCCCGAGGGAGAAAATGGTGTACGAACCTATTGTTGGTAACCGGTTATAATGAGGTCGCATCTCTCAACGTTGCTCCGGTGTCTTGTGGACTAAAACTCTAGGTCAAAGGCTCGGGGAGAGGCATTCCAGGAAAACGATGTACTTCGGCTTGGGTGTCTGGTCAGTATCTCAGTCCTCACACAAATCGAATGATGGAGTGTGGCGCATATATATTTGTCACACCCTTGTACCAATATTTGTCTCTAGATAGATATTAGGATTTTGAGTCAATTTCAGGTTAGAAACTAAAGGTTTTCTTCACTAACTGACATCAGCTATTATGCCAGAATTCCATTTATATGGATGAATGAATTGCGCCACAAAATTCAAGACTTAACACCCTTTAATTCTTTTGGTTCATTCATAAATTATAGTCTGACCACCGACTCATCAATCCCTATTCTTTTCAGTTTACCGGGTTTAGTAAATTTTATCATCTCTTAATCTCTCCAAACTCTTGTACATTTTTCAGTTTTAATGGGTGCGAGGTATTCTAAAAAGCGTCACAAGCCTCGTATAAGTAAATCCCAGATCCCATGGCTCCTACGTGGAGCTATAAGAAGCAATAATGTTGGTACACTTCAATATCTCTTCAGCTATCCTAATGGTGTGGATCCAAGTATGGTCATCGATGGAGTTTGCCCACTCAATTTGGCGGTTGAATTAGGTTATTTACAAATGGTCAAGATCCTTATTAAAGCAGGTGCGGATATTTATGTTGCCGATGCCCCTCGGTACCCACTTCATCAAGTAAGAGAGTTGGGTTTTCCAATTTCATATTTGCATTATGAAGAGATGTACATGACCTGCTAGTTTTTCAAAACTTTTAATGGCTCTAAAAGTATAGATTGGTCTTAATTCTGGGCAATATGCACGGGTACTTCCGTTATTTTACCTAAGAGTTATTTCCATGATCACGCAACTTAATCGAGCGAAAAAGGTGGTAAAAACTGTTTGATGTAGTTAATCGGGAAATCCAAGTTCACAGTCGAATCATACCTGGTATTCTAAAACTTTGCAGAAACGTTCTATCTCCAATTGTTCAACAGCACAGTCTGAGACTTCGTTGTTGGTCAACTCAGTCATTGGATGATATCATATAGTGCCATATTATATACAGTAGTTGGTTGTCTATTGGTAAATCTGCTCTTCAAGTGTGATAGATCTTTACCAACGGAAGCTTTTGTGTAATAATAAATTAAGTGTATATTGATTAGATACAGTGTATATTCGTAGGCAAAATAGATGCTAAGATTGTCGGTTTACATTGACTTAATGGTTAAAACACTCAATCATCAATAACTGGATCTAGTGTTTGATTCTTATTTCACTTAATTCGATATAAAGGACAGAATAAGATTATTAACCACCAAATGCAAAACCCTATGTATATAAAACCTATGTTGGGTTAATAAGTCACACTAAAAAAGCTTCATTGTGTCTCATTTCTTTATATTTAAAAAATGTTTACCTCAATGATCGTTTCTTCATTCAAATATCACGAATTGTTTTCCTAAAGGCAAGTTTATATGGTCGTGCGGATATTGCTGAACTGCTTATACGATCCGGTGCATCTGTATCAGCGCTTACTGAACGACGACAGTCTTGTTTACATCTCCTGGCACATCAAACTGCTCAACGTTATGTTGATACAGCGAAAATTCTATTGAAATATCATGTGAATCCAAATACATTAGATGATGATGGTCTTGCACCGTTACATCGTGCATCAGTTGAAATTGTTGAAGTATTAGTTGCAGTAAGTTTATAGCATTATATTTCGATAGTATTTTTCACCTACTGTACTGGATTTTTTTTATAGACAAATATTCTTTTAGTATTAGAAAGGAAAGTTCATGAGGGATTATTCATCTCTTGAGGAGAATTTACATTCCATAGCTCTAGTGAGAATCTGAGGCCATTTTGACAATGGAACAAGTATTATCAATACTTAATTGGTGGTAGTAACGAATAGAGTATAAATGCTAGTCATTCGTAATTTAGTCGTGGGTACTTATCAGGAACCTCAGTCAGTCAGTCACAACGTAGAACTTCGTACGTACGTACATGAGTTCGAGTTGCCATACCACATTACTACGGAGATGCAATTGTCAGTTCAAATCCCATAGTGGTAGAGGTAGTAAAAGTATAAGCAATTATGACAATGATTAAAGGGTTTAAAATTTTGAGCCAGTAAGTCACAGATTTGTACCCCAAAATATTTATTTCGGTCTCAGTAGCCGATTGATATGATTAACCTTCATATTTAAAAGTATCACTCAAACCGGAGTGTACGTTAACATATATTTGATGTAAGTGAGTTTTATTTATTTATTTATTTAAACATATAAACATTGGTACAAAGGGGGCACCAGATATATATGCGCCGCACAAATCTCATTTGATTTGTGTGAGGGTTGTAATACTGCCTAAGCACCCAAACTGAAGCAGGTGGTTTGCTTACAGGTTCACACCCGGAGCCTTTAACCTAAAGGTCTGATGCACAAGACAGTGGAGCAACTTAAGGAGATGCAGTCCCATGGTAGCCGGTAACCAATGATTCATTCATGCGCTATTTGTTCGCTTAGGATACTGGAGCCAATGTGCACCATTGGTTTGTGCTCAGGGGTTTCCAACTCCACTACATGGACCCTCCGTGTTCACCAACCCGGTTAAAGCGACGGACATTCACTTTTCGTCCTTTCGATTTCGTAAACAACACTCTCTTCACGAGAAGGCAGTGAGTAGGACTTCCCTGACAGAGGTTATATACGTATGGCCATGTGAGGGAGAGTGGACTCTCTCCACTCTCGACCGTACCATGGAATTTGGGGGCAGTGAGTTATATTACTGTCGGTAAAGTATTCAACGAAGTTGCTGCATAAAACCTTATTTATTTTGATAATCTTTATAAGAAAATTCTTCTGATTTTCTTTTATTTCAAACTTATAAACGAGTTCTGTGACTAATTATATACTTCTTTATGATATCTTTTCGTTTGAAAGCATGAAACAACTGATGTTAATATATGTAGTCGTGATATGGATACACCTTTATTAACCGCCGTCAAAGATCGTAGAGAACTAATTTTAATTGCTCTCATTCGAGCAGATCAACAATTTCGTGAACAACATCGAAAAAACAACACTAATACTACTACTACTACTACTACCACAACGGTGGCGACGACGATGACTTCAAGTACATTAGAAACTCAATCAGGTGATGGCGCATGTCGTGTTATAGCTTCAGCTCTTCGAACACCATCTTCAAAATCATCCAATTCTGCATCATCTCGATTTACACTCGCTTCAGCAACAAGTACAATTTTTCGTGGTATCATTTCAAATGATTGTGTTGTACCACCACGTGCTTCATCTGCTGCTTCAGTTAATCTACATTCAATAATTAATACAAATCATTCAAAACCATTTATTACAGATCGTCATAATTTATCATCACAATTATTACGAATGAAACCAATTAAGATTTCAGATGATCATGATACTGAATTAGAATGTGATACCAATAGAATTAATATACGTTCATGTATATTAAGATTAAGTGGAAAAAATCATATGTTTTTAAATTCAGAATCCAATGGTTTTACTGATGGTGATTCACAATGTATTGTTAAATCAAGTTATAGTGGTAGTTCTAATTTATCACATATGATTACTCGTAAACCAGAAAATTGTCAACGATGTCATAGTGTAGGCAATCCAAGTGGTAAGATTGTTGGTTGTTTTTTCTTTGTCTATTTTGAATCTCTCGAGTGCGGGATCGTGGATGCGCACTGAGGAGTCCCATGATATGGACGAAACGGCTGTCCAGTGCTTCCAGGTTTTCCATGGTGTCTAGCTTCAATTGATTCATGATTTCAACTATGAAAATACTGAAATCTCCACAAAACCCATCTGATAATTAATTTCTCGTTTATTCGTCAAAGCCAGTTTTGTTTTTCAAATTATCATACTGTAGTTTTCTTTGGTTGGTTAATAGATCGACTATGAAAGTTGATTGGTCAGACAGTAACAGTCATAAAGATGGTAGGATCCTACATACATACTTTATTTATTTAAATACATAAAAGTTGGTACAAGGATGCACTAAAATATGTATATGCCACGCAAAATTTGTATAAGAGCTGGGATAGTTCCCCGATGCCCAAACCGAGGTAGATGGTTTTCTAATGCAGCCACTTCCCCGAGTGTTTGACCTGGAGTTTTCGTCCATAAGACCACTGGAACGACGTTGAGAGATGCGACCTCATGATGACCTGTTACTAACAATAGGTTCATACACCATTTTCTCCCTCGGGATCCTGGAGCCCATGTGCACCATTGGTTTGGAGTCGGGGTTTTCTGACTCCCCTAGGTGGATGCCCCGTATACACCGACCCTGTCGAAACATCAGATATTGGCTTATCGTCCTCTTGATTTCGTAAACAACACTCTCTTTACGAGAAGGCAATGAGTACGACTTCCTTGACAGTAGTTATATGCGCATGTTCATGTGAGAGCATTTCGAGAGGGAGAGCTGACTCACCCTTGACCATATCAAGGCATTTAGGGTCTCAGGTATTTGTGATGTATAATAAGTATGCCCGGCCATCGTATTCTTCGATGAACCATGTCAGTTGGTGTAGTAGTAGGTCAGAAAAAACTAAAGACGGCCAAACCAAGAAATAACATTAGCCCCCGAACTCACTGATTGTCGGACTAAACCATATCGGTCAGCGCAGACTATTTATCTGGAATTTACGTGATCAATCGTCGTATAGCGTTGACATAAATTTTTTTAAAGGAGATATCTATTTCTTACTTGCAACTTTTAGTTATTTTTCATTTACCCTTTTTTATCTATAGATGTGGCTCGTTGGTGGCAAAGTTGTGATCGAGTTCAACGTATACTTGGCAAAACTACATTGATCAATACTAGTAATAATAATAATAGCAATAATATTAATAATTCAATACCACAAACAACACAACTTCCACTCAATCTTAAAAATGGTCAACAGTCGAATGTTGGTACAATACGACCACGTTTAGACATAGATCGACCAGATAAGATTGGTAAATAACTATGTTTTGTGATTGTACATCCCTCTTTTAGCTCGTTGTTGTGTGTTATTTTTCTAATTGTTGATCAGAGGGGGTTTTGTGGAGAATTTAGTATTTTCATAGTTGAAATCATGAGTCAATTTAAGCTAGACCACCATAGAAAACCTGGAAGCACTGGACAGCCGTTTCGTCCATATCATGGGACTCCTCAGTGGCAGTGCGCATCCACGGACCTGCACTCGCGGGATTCGAACTTAGGACCTACCAATCTCGAGCCAGAGCCCTTAACCGATAGACCACTGAGCCGGCATCCGATGGTGTTAATGTCTTACTTCAACCAATCCACGATGTTTGAGCTACCGTTCACCGATTGTCTTCAGTGAGTTGATATCTCTACAACAGACTTGGTAGAACTCCACTGGTCACTGCTTCCCACTAGAACTCAAGGAAATATCTCAAGTCAGTCACTAGTGAGCATATAATTATAGATCAGAGGGGGTTTTGTGGAGAATCTCGCGAGTGCGGGATCGTGGATGCGCACTGCTGTGGAGTCCCATAATAGGACGAAACGGCCGTCCAGTGCTTCCAGGTTTTCCATGGTGGTCTAGTTTCAATTGACTCATGATTTTTCTAATTGCCTATCAATAAGTATCAATCGTAACCGTTCATGTATTCTGTTTTATGATATTGTTGAGAAGTGTCTATCATAACTATTTTTATTAGTCTCAACCTTCAAGTCAATAAAGAAGTTCTGTGTATAGCTGAAATTGTTATCTTTGAAGAAGCATATATTCAGCATTATTAGTCTAGATGAAAACCTAGAAATCATTGTTAATTCCTCTCTCTCTCGAAAAAAAAAATAGAACAGTCGACCTTTTTTTCTAATAAAAGTGTTACAGTATGAACTACTAAATGATTCCTATCACCACTGTTGTTTGTTTATCTATGGGGTAATCCTAATTAATCAAATTTTTTTCATAATCAAATCCCTTAAGATGTTTTATTAAAAAAAGAACAATGATTGTAGCAGAATAATGTAGGGTGATTTATTTTGAAGGGAGACAGTGTGGGCTATATGCTGAAACTTCTATAGCCCCCAAATGCCCTGGTACGGCCGAGAGTGGGGAGAGTCTACTCTCCCTCTCGAAATGCTCTCATATGGCCAGCGAATATATAGCCTCTGCCAGGGAAGTCCTACTCACTGCCTTCTTGTGGCGGGGGTGTTGTTTACGAAAGTGAGAGGACAAAAAGCGAATGTCCGGCGCTATAACCGGATTGGTGGACACGGAGGGTCCACCTAGGGGAGTTGGAAAACCCTGATTCCAAACCAATGGTGCACATGGGCTCCAGTTTCCTGATGGAACGAATGGCGGAAGAGCCTGTCATTGGTCAACGACTACCATGGGACTGCATCTCCTCACGATGCTCCACTGCCTTGTGGATCAGACCTTTAGGTCAAAGGCTCCGGGTGTGGCCCCCTAAGAAAACCACCTGCTTCGGTTTGGGCACCCGGGCAGTATCACAGCCCACACACAAATGAATGAAATGACGAACTCTATTGACGATTCTATTCCTGCTCATATTATAAGCAAGACAATTTACGTTATTATTATCATTATTATTATTATTACTATTATTATTATTATTATTATTACTTACCATATCGCTAATTCACCCCCCTTTTACCCCCAATTTGTGTAACCTTACTCTTCAACTTATGCATCAGCTCGCTCTTGGTGGAAAATCTGTCCTATCTAAACGATCTCCAGTCACTGTCTGGTTGAAAGTGAATGCTTCCACCGATAATGAATACTGAGGCAGTCTTTCTGAAACCACGTACGCCGTTCAAGCTGGCTTCCTTCAACGTTCGCACACTAATGCAGATCAGACAACAGATAGGGCTGGCTATGTCTTTGGAAGGTCTTAATGTTGATGTTTGCTGTCTATCCGAGACCCGTATTCAAAACTCTAGTGAAGTACTACAAATCCGCTCTCCGCTCTCTCGAAAAGCTTGTTCCACGTGCGCTTATCCGGGGACCCTGTGGCATCTTCGTCTGGTCTTGCTGGCGTTGGTGTCGCACTAAGCGCTAGGGCTGAGGCAGCACTAATCGATTGGTTCCCCATTAACAGTCGGTTATGTGCTGTTAGATTAGAAAGTTCCATCAAATTGAGAAGAAACCGGCGTGAGAAACGGTGTCTTTTCGTCATCTCCGCCTATGCCCCGACAAATTGCAGCCCGGATGCAATCAAGGATGAGTTTTACCATCAGTTAACAGTTCTTCTCCAGAAAGCGCGTTCGACAGATATTGTAGTATTAGCCGGAGACTTGAATGCTCAGGTCGGGCGTCTAGGCACAGAAGAGAGTCGTCTAGGTGGCCGATGGGGACTTGTTGGTCGCCGGACAGATAACGGGGACCGTTTGCTTCAACTGTGCACAGACCACAACCTGTTTCTGGCCAGCACTAACTTCCGGCACAGTCATCGCCGGTGTACCACCTGGCGTCCTCCCTCTGCATCCCAAGCCTGGACTCAGATTGATCACATCGCGATCAGCTACCGCTGGCGTGGTTGTGTACAAGACTGCCGCTCCTTTTGGAGTACCTATCTGGAGTCTGATCATGCCCTGGTCTGCACCAATCTCACCTTACTTTTCAGTGGCCGAAGGATTGACCACCACCAAGGGATTGATATTAGTAAACTGGCTGCAACTTCTGTTGCAAGTAAGTATCGAGCGGAGCTAGCCTCTAGTCTAGCTACCACCCCACCGAAAAGTATAGATGAGCATTGGTTGCATCTTCACGACGCCATGAAAATGGCGAGTAAAGCCGCTTGCGGCTTCGCGAAACGTCCCGCTTACAAGCACTGGGTTTCTTCTGGCTCCTTACAACTGATGGAAGCCCGTCGGTCTACTCCGGGTGACCGTGAGTTTGACCACAAACGAAGGCTGTTACGTAATGAAATTGGGCAAAGCTTGCGTAAGGACCGGGAAGCCTGGTGGTCGGAGCGTGCTAATGAGATGGAAGCAGCAGCTGCATCTGGTAACTGCCGGAAGCTCTTCCAACTCATCCGAGCCACTGGCAGCAAGAAGTCTGGTGTGAGTGAAACAATCTACGAGGATGATGGGATGCCAATCACTAACATCTCCCGACGTCTTGGACGATGGGCGGAATTTTTCGAAGGGCAGTTCAACTGGCCTGCTGCTCCGGCAACATCAACCAGCTTGTCCTGCCCCCCATGGCCGGTGACGACTGATCCACCAAAGGAGGCGGAAGTCCGCAAGGAACTCCAACTCTTGAAGCGCTACAAATCACCTGGCCCAGATGACTTACCTCCGGCTCTTTTTAAAGATGGTGGCGACTTTCTGACTAAGGAATTGACTGTGTTGTTTGGAAAGGTTTGGGAGCAAGAAAGTGTTCCAACATCATGGAATGAGTCAATAGTCGTCCCTATCTTTAAAAAGGGTTCGCGTTGTTCCTGCAATAACTATCGGGGGATAAGTCTACTTCCGATTGCGTTCAAACTATTGGCTTCTATCATTCTTCGTAGGTTGTTTAAAACCCGAGAACGATTGACTCGCGAGGAGCAGGCTGGTTTTCGTTGTGGTCGAGGATGCATTGATCACATCTTCACCCTCCGCCAAATGTTAGAACACCGTCATACTTATCGCAGGCCAACAATCGTAGTGTTTCTTGATATCAGGGCTGCCTTCGATTCGTTGGACAGGACTGTTCTCTGGGATTGTCTATTGAAGAAGGGTGTGCCTGAGAAGTTCATTAACATCTTAAAAGCCCTGTATACGAACACCTCAGGCAGAGTGAGGGCATACAACCACCTTTCTCCCTTGTTCCATTCGAGCAGTGGGGTTAGGCAGGGTTGCCCGATCTCACCATTCCTCTTCAACTTTGCCATCGACGACATCTTGGAAACAGCTCTGGTGGATGTAAGTAATGGCGGTGTGGATATGTTGCCTGGAGAACGACTTCTCGACCTTGAGTATGCGGATGATATTGTCTTACTGTGCGATAATGCCCAAGGCATGCAATCAGCACTTAATCAGTTGGCAATCAGTGTCCGCAGGTACGGCATGTGCTTTGCACCCTCCAAGTGCAAAGTACTTCTAGAAGACTGGCAAGATTCTAATCCTGTACTCACCCCGGATGGTGAGCAGATCGAAGTAGTTGAGAAGTTCGTGTATCTAGGTAGCTATATAAGTGCTGGTGGTGGCGTGAGTGATGAGATTGATGCACGTATAAGGAAAGCCAGATCGGCTTATGCCAATCTGGGCCATCTTTGGCGCCTTCGTGATGTTAGTCTGGCTGTAAAAAGTCGGATTTACAACGCGTCGGTGAGAGCAGTTTTGCTCTATGCTTGTGAAACCTGGCCTCTCCGAGTTGAGGATGTTAGACGTCTCTCTGTGTTCGATCATCGTTGTCTCCGAAGGATTGCTGACATCCAGTGGCAACACCATGTTAGTAATGCAGAGGTTCGGCATCGTGTGTTCGGGCACAGAGACGATAATTCAATTGGTGTCACCATCTTGAAACACCGACTTCGGTGGCTTGGACATGTTTTACGAATGTCGTCCCAGAGACTTCCACGTCGTGCATTATTTGCCGACCCTGGGACTGGTTGGAAAAAGCGGAGAGGAGGTCAGTGTATGACATGGTGTCGTGGCATGAAAGAGAGCTGCAAAGGGCTAGCTTCTGTTGGTCCTTCACGACTCCTTGGTTAGGGTCCGAGAGATGGTGCAACACAGTGGCTAGAGACGTTATCAGATATGGCTCAGAATAGAAACCAGTGGCGATCCTGCTGCAACCTTCTTTTACTTTCTACATAAAGTATGGTTCTTACTTTCCTATTTGAAAGAGTCTTCTGGTTGTACATTTTAGTCCGCCTTATCTTTTCATCCCTTCTCTTCCTACTTTCATTATTTTGTGTGGCGCATATGTACCTGGTGCCCTTTTGTACCAATATATATGTGTTTAAATAAATAAATAAATAAAATCTGATTAGAACTGTTCAACGGTATATTGAGATTTTGTTCAGATTATAAAATTAATGAAAATTCGAAGTCACTGACTGAAATTATGAAGACAACCAATAAAAACCAGGACTCACTAGACTGTTGTTTCGCCCTAGTATGGGATTCCCCCTTAGTACACATTTACAACCTCACTGGAAATCGAAATTAGGGTCTTTAAGGCCTGGTAGTGAGAGTCTTATCTCCAAACTACTGATTTAAAATCCAATGGTTTATATATCAGTTCGCGTTGTTGCCCAACCATTGTCATCACACGTTCGGACTACTGTGGTCTCGACTTTTTCACTAAATCCTTGGAAATTTCCTCTCAAAATAATATGATAACTATAAACAATCGGTATAAATCCCTGTACTGATAAGGAATAAACTGTAGCCAAATGCTGCCCGTATGATTACAATTATGAGCAGAAATTCATAATTCAACGTCGATCGTGAAATTGATGAATTCATATTATTTCACTAAGATTGTTATTCTCAAATTATTTAAAATTATAACTTGGGAAAATTGAATGGAATTTCCTTAAGAATATGTTCACGGGGATCTCCTTGGATTAAACTTTCCCCATTCCGTCAACCTAGTTAATCCAAACATACCGAAAAAAATTCTTTTGTACAAATTTAACCTTCCATGTTATAGGCTTTTCATGTTTTATAAAATGAACACGGGACCAGCTGTAGGAAAACACAACAATGGTTTTTTCACAATAGAAATCGTTTCCCTGTACGGCTCTGGTACAGCCGAAAGTGAGGAGAGTCCGCTGTCCCTCTCGAAATGCTCTCACATGGGCACGCGTATATAGCCTCTGCAAGTGAAGTCCTACTCACTGCCTTCTCGTGGCGGGGATGTTGTTTGCGAAATTGAGAGGACGAAAAGCGAGTGTCCGGCGCTTTAACCAGGTTGGTGGACACAGCGAGTCCACCTAGGGGAGTTGGAAAACCCTGATTCCAAACCAATGATGCACATGGGCTTCAATATCCTGAAAGAACAAATGGCGTATAAATCAATCGTTGGTCACCGGCTACCATGGGACTGCTTCTCACGATGCTCCACTGCCTTGTGGATCAGACCATCAGGTCAAAGGCTCTGGGTGTGACCCCCTAAGAAAACCACTTGCTTCAGTTTGGGTACCTGGGTAGTATCACAGCCCTCTCACTAATCAAATGAGATTTGTGTGGCGCATATATATCTGCTGCCCTTTTGTACCCATATTTATATGTTTAAATCTAGAAAGAAAGAAAAGATCTGATTACAAGTTGACCAAATCAGCAGACTGAATAATGACAAACCGTCAAGCTACGTAGATGATCCTTTTCTCATAACAGAGTTTAGTTGATTTTTTTCTAGTTGACGATTATTCTGTAGCGTTGTTCTTTTTACGCGATTATTTTCCTGATCCTGCACCCAACAATCTTCTTTCCTTATCAGAGTTTGGGAGTAGCAATAGTTTTAGAGGGGCTCCAGGAGGAGTTAAGCTATACAGAACCAACTATAATTTGTCATTCGAATGTATATTTGCAACAAGGTCGTTATTATTGCTTTGTAATTGTTTCTACCTCCACACATACACACAAAAATGCGTTATATTTAAACAGGAACTGCTTTGTTGTTTGTTTGTTTTTGATTTAATAATCCTCATTTTAGGTATGACACCTTTAATGATCGCAGCAGAAGCTGGTTCAAGTGGTTTGAATATGGCAATAGCTTTAGTAAATGCTGGTTCAAATCTTTCGCTGACTGATAAAGTCGGTATGACCGCTTTACATCATGCATGTTATGTTGGCTCATTAAATATGGTACGTTATCTTATGGAACGTGTTCATCCAACAATATCTTCTAATAATGTGGCAACAACAACAACTATTTGTACTACTACTACGGCGACTACGATGGCCACTACGTCTGCATCAATTTCAAAAACTAACAGTCTATTGAATGGTTCCAATGCTCGGTTGTCATGTCTTCTTTCTACATCGATTATATCATCGTTAAATGCATCAGGATCAATATGTCCTACTAACAATAGTAATAGTAATATGAATGTCCAATTGTCCATGGTAGGATCAGCACCACCACCACTAACTGCAAGTCGTCTTTCAAATCCTGAATTATTAAATACTCAAGTACGTTGTGTGTAAGATTGTATGCGTGTGTACGTGTGTTAGCGTTATTTGAAGTTAAAAATTAAATGCATCCATCATAGGTGTAATGTCGATTGAAGTTTAAGATTTTTATGAGGAGTTTTTATGTTTTTATGGTTAATTGGAGAACTGTGGATTATGAATAATAGGAGAACAAATATTGTAGCAGTAGAAAGTTAAATAATGCTCGAAAAATTTTATTCTCGTAATCTCTCCGACTTATCACCGTCGAACTGTCACCATACTATTTACTGACTTAATTGATTGAGTTGGGAGGCGATTAGTTTCGGATTAACCAGTGAGGTTACAAGAATAAAATGTTTCTAACAGTGTTCTTTCTGATAAGATATTTGTTCCTTCTTTATTCAAGTTTATAAATAGGAAAATTTATATGAAACTATGAACCAATCAGTCACTCACTCAACTCCGAATGCCTTAGTATGGTCGAGAGTAGGGACAGTCCGCTCTCCCTCTCGAAACGCTCTCTAGTGGGGTTGTTGTTAATAATGCAATATCAATGACTGTTGGATTGAAATCAAACCGTATCACAAATTGGTAGCGTGTAGATGATCAGTGATTGGCAATTTTATACCCTTAAAGCGATTTACTCACCATTGTTCACCAACTTGTGATAAAGTTACGTCTTGTGAGCTTAGTGGTGTAATCATGTAACTACCATCGTCCTTCTAGGCAACGTTATCTGTTCAGGTTTCCTATCATTATCTGTACATTTATTTTGATTGTTTTCCCTCTCTTGATCTGACTCTTGAATGATATATCATAAATTACCAACCAGTTTACTCCGACCATTAGCAATAAGCGTTGGTTACATATCAGCAAAATCACCTCAATCAATCTTATACAAATCAAAAGATGTAATGATGTGAAGACTAAAAATCGAACATAATCTAAAAGATAAACTATTCCAACTGTATGGAACATAAAAACTAATTGGTTGTAATATCTTGCGATGTATCTCTGTTTATTTAAATTCATTCACACAGTTGTAGGCACATGTCCGACTAGAAAACTATGAAAATCTTATATTGAAGGAATTCAAAGAAGACCTAAGAACTTCTAGAAGATCGACACTTATGTCAGTCAGTAATCAGTAAACGTATTGATGCAAATCTAATTTATCAACCACTTAGTAAAGTCAATAATGATATTAAAACCAAGAATTGCTTCAAAGTAAAAGATAATGGTAATAAATATACAGACAATAACAGGATAAGCTACGCTAACGACTAATCAGGTACCATATCAACAGTACAAACTGTTAGTCATTTGTGAAAATATAGCTCCATAACTGTATTCTACCTAAAGGTTGATCCCTAGTAGAACAATGAATGAATATTTCTTGATCAAATCGCTTAGTTCAATGAACGCAACTCTACAAGTTCTCCTAACCATCTCAACAAAAATATTGATCCAACCCGTTGTTTATTGATTTTTTTTCTATCCTGTTTTTTTTCTTTTCTTATTGTTCAGGATAAATATGGTCGAACTTTAATTTATTTAGCTGCATGTCGTGGACATAGTGAAGTTGTAAATTATTTACTATGTCATTCAGCTGATATACATATTACTAACAAAGAAAATAAGTCACCTTTATATATTAGTGCTTATTTTGGTTATTTGGAAATAGCCAATGCACTATTACGTCATGGTGCACAGGTAATTAACTTTCTTAGTTGTTTCTCTTTTTTTCTTTCTTTAGAAAAGAATGACATATGTTTGTAGGTGTATTTATGAGTTTTGTTTTCCCGAGTTCAGTCAATCACAACGTAAAACTTCGTACTTACGTACATGAGTTCGAGTTGCTATACCACAATAACACAGAGATGCAGTTGTCGATTCAAATCCCATGGTGATAAAGCTAGTCAGAGTATAAGCAATAATCCGAAAGATTAGGGTTCGATTTATCAACCAAACCAATGATGAAAGTAGTAAAAGTGGAAACAGTAATCGGAAAGATTAGGGTTTGAAGATTTTATTGAAGGGGTATAATCCAGTGAAACAAATTTAGAAAGAGAAAAAAGATAGATAAAGAATTCAGAAGATTAGATTGGATGCACCTTTTGCCATTACAAACGATTTTGAGCCATGTCATTCAAGGTCTCTAACCATCGGTTTCTGTCATCTCGCGAATCCCAACCAGGTATTCTACACCTACCAGCATGGCTCAATCCACTTGTCAGTGACTTCATGGATTTGTGCCATGTTTTGGTCTTGCCGCCTATAGCTTTTTTCCGACCTACTCCCACACCATAAAACATTGCACGTCGGGGCAGTCGGTGGTTGGGCATACGTAACACATGTCCCAGCCATCTCAACCGATGAAGTTTCACTACTTCATCAATTCATTTGCCATCCTTACCTATTACCCGTTTCCTAACGACTGCATTACTTACCCGGTGGTCCCAGGATATACGAGCAATGGTTCAAAGACACCTATGATGAAGTTACGATTTTATGAATGAATTTTCGATTGTAGGACTTGATGGAGATGTTAACTAAAACCAGCGTTTGTTCATTTTTGTATCATAAGTCTTCTTAAAGTTGTTTTGTTTTTACTGTACAGGTCTCTTTATGAGTAAACTTCTAGGTCTACTATTCATCAATTAGCTGTAATCAACGTTATGCTTGACGCAACTATAAATGGACATTATTGTTGACATAAGAAGATGAAATCAAGAAAATATAATGCAAAAGAAGTCGAAGTTGTCGTGGTTTTATGCCCGGCGATTTCCACGTGTTATATATTTATTTTATTTATTTAAACACATAAATATTGGTACCAGGAAGCATCACATATATATGCGCCTCACAAATCTCATTCCATTTGTTTGAGGGACGTGGTACTGCCCAGGTGCCCGAACTGAAGCAGGTAGTTTTCTTAGGCGGCCACACCCGGAGCCTTTAACCTAAACGTCTAATCCACAAGGCAGTTGAGCAACGTTAGGAGATGCAGTCCCATGGTAGTCGGTCACCAACGATTGATTCATGCGCCATTTGTCCCCTCAGGATACTGGAGCCAGCCCATGTGCACCATTGATTTCGAATGAGGGTTTTCCAACTCCCGTAGGTGGACTTTCTGTGTCCATCAAGCCGGTTAAAGTTCTGAACATTCGCTTTTCGTCTTCTCAATTTCGTTAACAACACCCTAGGCGTGAGAAGGTAATGAGTAGGACTTCTCTGACAGAGGCTATATACGCGTGCCCATGTGAGAGCATTTCGAGAGGGAGAACGAACTCTCCCCACTCTCATTTGTTTCAAGCGTACTCGGTTTATATACCAGACAGACAGGCCACATCGTACCATAAAATAGAAAATAATATTTGTACAAGACCAGGCCAAATATGGCTGTGAACGTGGGAGACAGTAATCAATAAACTGAATATAATTTAGGGACAGTAAATCGTATAATAATAATCAATAGGTCAAAATGAAGCTTATAATAAAATGAATATAGATATGCATAATCTAGTTACTCGATAGTCAGACAATAGGAATATATATAGAATAATAGTCCATGAATAGATCCTGGAAGTTACCCGTACTTATGTCTTCACTAAGATATAACAGAAGTGTTAATAGTTTCTACGGTAGTTTAAAAGTATTAAACATGGAAAATTTAGTTCGAAAGAAAGGAAGAAATTTGTGTTACAAAAATGTAGAAATAAATATTACAACATGAGATCTTAGGGATAAGTAAAGTTAACGAATAAATTTGTGGATTTTAAACCATGTCATTTAGTGTCTTCAATTATTTGATCACAATTATTTTACTTACATTATTAAGGTAGTCTGTACTTATCAACGTACGGTTCCGGTTCACTATCAGTGACTTCATGAAATACTGCCCCCAAATGCCCTTGTACGGCCGAAAGTGGAGAGAGTTCGCTCTCCCTCTCGGCATGCTCTCACATGGCCACGCGTATATAGCCTCTGCCAGGGAAGTCTTACTCACTGCCTTCTGGTGGCAGGGGTGTTGTTTACGAAATTGAAAGGACGAAAAACGAATGTCCGTCGCTTTAACCAGGTTGGTGGACAAAGAAAGTCCACCTACAGGAGTTGGAAAACCCTCATTCGAAATCAATGGTGCACATGGGCTGGCTCCAGTATCCTGAGCGAACAAATGGCGTATAAATCAATCGTTGGTGACCGACTACCATGGGACTGCATCTCCTTACGTTGCTTCACTGCCTTGTGGATCAGACCTTTAGGTCAAATGCTGCTGGTGTGGCCGCGTAAGCAAACCACCTGCTTCAGTTTGGGTACCCGGACAGTATCACGGCCCTCACACAAATCGAATGAAATTTGTGTGGCGCATATGTATTTGGTGCCCCTTTGTACTAATATTTATGTGTTTAAATAAATAAATCTTGAAATATTACAACATTTTAATTGGGCATAATTATCTTTGAATACAAAAGTTTCACTGTACATATATATTTAGTCCTAATAAACAGTATTTAAGGTGTAAGCTGACGAATTCCGTATATTATACTCTTCTTGCGTAATTGTTTTGGTATTCCTCGTAGAGTGGTAGTGGCTTAATAATGGTTAAAGCGTCCATATTTCAACGAATAGGACTCAAGTTCGAGTATTACTGCACCTATGTGACTTCACACACGAAGTGTAGTTGATGACGAAGTAAATAATTTCGTACTACCTAAATGAGTTACTTCATTCTATTCTCCTAATTTACGCCTTAGACAATCCATTAGAAACTAGGGATTACTAGACAGCTGTTTTATCCTAGTATGAAACTGTTCAGCAGTACAGATTCAGGACTCCACTAAGAACTGAATTCAGGATATTCTGGTTTCATAATTAGTGCTTAGTTTCTTATCTTTTTGTGAGACGACATTATTTCAGCATGTGTAAATGATACGCATTACTAGTTAGTTATAGGTCAGATGATAAGCACATGCTATTTGCTATGATTTGACTTCCTTTTGTTAGGAACAAGATACATGCTATTGTTCGAAAATGTGGCTAAGGGAGAAAGATACATATGTATGTATGGACGAGTTTACATATACTCTTGAAGGGGTCTTCAATAAAGCCTAATTTTCACTCAAGTTATTGATTGTGCTCGCATGTAGGAAGCTTGTGTACCAGTATTAGACTCGGACTCCACATAACATAGCAATAAGCTTATACGATTTACATTTTCAATTGAACAGAGTACTTAAAATCCTACATGTTTACTTTCCCATATTTACTTTTAAAGGTCGATCAAATGGATTCACATCGAAAAACTCCATTGTATGTAGCTACTTATCATGGACGATCGGAAATTGTCGATCTTTTACTAACAGCTGGTGCTAATGTTAATGCAGCTGATAAAAATGGTAAAACTCCACTTTATGTTGCTGTATTACATGGACATTTAGCATTAGCACGTAAACTATTAGACGCTGGTGCATCAGTTAATCGTGTAGATCGTGAAGGTCTTGGTCCTTTACATATGGCAGTTAAATTTCCTAAATTAGATATACCTATGGTAAAGTTATTATTAAATTATGGATGTGATCCAGTGAATTTAGCAAGTTTTACACGTTGGCTTCTAGTACATGGAATAATTCCAGAAGAATGTATACATGGTGATGATGAATTAGCACAATGGTTACGTTGGGAAGAATGTAATGTACATTCATTAAAACATATTTGTCGTGTAGTTATACAACGTGCACTTGGTTATGCTGATTCATTAAGAGTTAAAGCAAATCGTTTACCATTACCGGAGCATTTAATTTCTTATGTATCAATGAAACAATTATAATAAATCATTCACCTCTCTTCTTGATCATCACCAATTCGTACTCACTTTAGTTTTCTGCTTTCCACACACACCCCGCCGCGGCTCTCTGTCTCTCTCAGTTCTTCTAGATTTTGCTCAGTATTGCATTTATTTGAATGACTTGTTTATCTTTGTTTTTTTTTACACAACATCTTGACAACTGATCTAGATACTAGGTTATATAACAATAATTATTATTACTATTATCAAATATGTAATAGTATTTTCTGGTGTGTAGGGGGGAGGGAAGTGGTGGGGAACAGAATGCTTGTCTGTGATCATATGAAACCTTATTTTTAACAAAAAACAAACATTTTCATGTATTCTCAAAGAAAAGAAGAAAAACCAAAAATTAATTGTACTTCATTTCAATATGTATCGAGACAACTGGAAAAGATAAATGGAGAATTTTGGTTAGGCGGCTTATGATCCTTCATGAAGGATAACAGGTATAAGTAACTAGGCAATGTGTATCAAGATAAAGAATGACAGAGTAAGTATTTTGGTTCATTGTTGTTGTTTCACTTTATCATATATTCAACTGGTTGTATAATAATATGGTACCAATTTACATTTTTTTGTTTATTTCTATGTTTTTTTCTTTTATTGCTTATTTACTTGTGTTTATTTAGCATTTAAGTTTTTTTTTTACTTTATTTTATGTGATTGTATGTGTGCGTGTGTGTCTGTGTGTATTTGTATGTGTCCATATATTATTGATCATGTACCTTGTTAATCTTTTACCCCTCCCCCTTTTCAGTTCTTTTTGTTCTCTGTTAGTTCTCATTTGTATTCTTGTTTTGTTTTTTTGAAGTGGAAAACGATGTGTTTCTATGTTATTTTTCAATAACCTAGAGATAAAATGTTTCTTTCTTCTTTTTTTTTTAAATTTTTATTGTCAAGTGTTGTTGTTGTTGTGGTTATTAGTCATAATTTTCTTCTTCTTTTTTTGGTGTATCAGCTCAATTTATGTAAAAGATGAATAGTGAATAATAATAATGTAAATGAACTACTAACATAATGTACATGTTAGTTGTTTATCAGTAGTTCCCTAATAATGAATTCATATTCTAGAATGTAAGCACTTCATTTCATAGAATGAATTGTAGATTGAGTAGTGAACTCACGTGGATGATTGTGCACATAAATTTAAATTAACAGAGTTCGTGATTCTGTAATCTTAAAGAGGGGGGGTAATCAAAATATTACGTATCTTGAGGAAATGAATAATGTACAATGACTTTCAACAACCTTATATATATTTGGGGTCGTTGGTGAAACACGCTTGACCGACCTGATGAGAAGCTTTCGTTAATTACATATATTTAGTTGAGATCATGAGCTAACAATGTGTTAGACTATCATTGAAAACCTGGGAGCATTAGATCGTCGTTGTGCTCTATCATGGGACTCCTTAGCGGTGTGCACCCACGGTCTCGCACATGGGACTCAAACCCAGGACCTTCGATCTGTTGCGTGAACTCTATACCACTGAGTTGGGATCCAGTGGTGTAAAGGGCTAATATTCAACCAATCCACGAAATTGTGCGACCATCTTCCATTGTTTTTGGTAGGTAATTGCCTCACACCCGACACGCATAAACTCCACTTATCACTAGAATTTCAAGAAATACCTCTCGGAGCTAATAACCAATGGATGCGCACTGCTGAGAAGTTGCGTACTGAAAGGAAACAGCCGTCCAGTGCTTCCATGCTTTCATTGGTGGTCTAACGTTGATCGGTTCATAATCTCGAAACTCAACAACCTCCATAACCCTATTCTGATAATTACGGATATGTTGCATTTCTGGCGATCGAAATTATTGGTTCATTTATTCACTGTGGTCAGCAGATTTGTGCTGTAGGGAATACTCCTAACACCAAACTATTAAGCATATTGTTGTTTACGGTAAATCAGTCAAGTACTTAGGTTAACTATATAGATTTTTATTTATACTGTTGTTGGTTTGGTTCGTAGGTGAAGACTTGAACGTTTGCAATAAGTGATTGCTCAGGAGTACCTATTCGTTTTTGGTAAATGTGCTCTGGCTATTATATCTAACAAATGGGAAATATCGGTTTTTATTTGTTGACTAGAGGCTTCACGTCGAAATAGACTTCTATTAAAGAAATCTAGCATTCAGCTTAGTCTATGTGGCTGTTCGTATCTAACCTTGTATTACTTTGTATAATAGGGGAGCATGCATAGTAGTAAAAAGGACTGGTTAAGTAATTATTTGATCGCCTAGGGGATACCTAAGCAAATATACAGTTAGTTATTATCTATTGTGAGTATTTCGGAAATATACATTAAGATATCCGAATGTGTGAGCATTTCTTTCCATGAAGGCTGCACCCGACTCCATGCCTTCAAAATGTTTTTTGGTAACATCAAAAGTTCTTACCTTCTACATGTTCATTCGATTTTGTAATAGACAAGTTTTTAAAGGTAATTTTTTCACTGCCCCACTTTCTATGGGTTGGTCTGTTATAAAATTCACTTATCAACCTGAAAATTCTCAATACATTTTGTTAGGATTGCGGTATTCGTACTAACTGATGATTCCTTTGTGCTTGATTGCGTGCTTATTACGGTTTCAAATATGATACGTCCAGTTGTGCTAATCTAGTTCTACATGCCTTGAATTGTACTATTTCCAGAGTTCTTAGCGCAATAATTTGAATACTTCTAATTATCATAAGGATACACTCCATAAGGTCGATGGGTGGCTCATTGAACGGTAAAAATTCTGAATTTGAAATAATATAACGAAATAGTACCAATTCCATAAGTCTAAAAGGTCGATAACACACAATCGAGAATTCAAGGTAGGCATTATGAAATCAATTTCGTATTATTATGGTCGGTTTAAAACAACTTAAAATACTTAACTGTACAGTGAATGTATTGTTTATTTATGATGATTAGGAGTATGCGATTTAATGTACTAACTGGTAATGTAAAGCAAATAGAACTAGATGAGCGCAAATGAATGTATTGTATTTGGAATTCGTAACAAGTGGGGAATTAGGTACAAAGAACTCATTAGTCTGTACAAATACCACAGCTTAAGTGAGAATTCAAGTTTCTGTAAAAGATTGTACTTCTTATGTTGTGCCTTGTTATTTGAGGTTTAGTACGGCCTACGATGTTACAGATTTAAAGACGAAAATGATTGAGCTTCTCTAATACGATTGATGCTCTTCAGAACTGATGACACTCGATTATGTTCAACACATCGTACGTCGACAGCTAGAACATAAAGAAGACCGAATTGCGGGTAACTTGATATTTGCGTAGAACAAGCAGCTCAAACGAAATCGGTGCAAAAGTTGTTACTGTAGTAGTAGAGTATGGCTGAGCATTTAGCGAACTGGAATAAAAGGTTACAGTAAATCAGGGGGGAAAGGTCATGCGGAAAATCGGATTGATAGAAAGTATGTGTATTAGATGTAGACTCTGTATGATATAGCATGTACTCATTAGTTTTAGAATTAACATCAGAAATCAGAACGAACTCACCTGGGTCTATGTAACATATTTTGGCTGTTGTGGCTGGCAGGTATGTAAACCATAGATTTATTGACCTATTTTGCAGACTTTTCGTATATTGCGGAAAAAAGAGTTCTTGTGCAAAGGCCTTTGTTTAGGCAATTTCATCGGTTTCTTTTGTGCACAGCTGGTAATATTGCACTGAGGAACTTTATCTTCTCCCCTCTGCGGGTCTCTTAACTTCAGTAGTAATTGAATTGACGTCTGTTCTCAAAGTATTGGAATGCATCGCTCATATATAGAAATGAGAGAACTTTTCAGTTGTGTGTAATTTTTCTCAATTCGATTCCATAGTAAGAAAGTTGTCAATCACTTCTTTTGAACTATCTTCAGTGGTCAGTAAGGAAAGATGTGTCTTGGGCATTCTTAAATTTTCTAGACCCAGAATAAACGATCCACATTCTTACTTACTTACTTACTTTCGCCTGTTACTCCCAATGGAGCATAGGCCGCCGACCAGCTCTCTCCAACCCACTCTGTCCTGGGCCTTCTTTTCTAGTTCTTTCCAGTTCTTGTTCATTCTTCTCATGTCTGTCTCTATTTCTCGGCGTAATGTGTTCTTTGGTCTTCCTCTTCTCCTTCAACCTTCAGGATTCCATGTGAGGGCTTGTCTTGTGACACAATTGGGTGATTTCCTCAAAGTGTGCCCAATCCACTTCCAGCGCTTCTTCCTGATTTCTTCCTCCGCTGGAATCTGGTTTGTTGTCTCCCACAGTAACTTGTTGCTGATAGTGTCTGGCCATTGGATCCGAAGTATCTTGCGTAGACAGCTGTTAATAAACACTTGTATCTTCTGGATAATGGCTTTCGTAGTTCTCCACGTCTCTGCCCCATACAGAAGAACTGTCTTGACATTTGTATTGAAAATTCTAACCTTGGTGTTGGTTGACAATTGTTTTGAGCTCCAGATGTTCTTCAGTTGTAAATATGCTGCTCTTGCTTTGCCGATCCTTGCCCTCACATCTGCATCTGATCCACCATGTTCATCAATGATGCTGCCCAGATATGTAAAGGTTTCCACATCCTCCAAAGCTTCTCCATCAAGTGTAATTTGATTGGTGCATATTGTGTTGTATCGGAGAGTCTTGCTTTTCCCTTTGTTTATATTGAGACCTACTGCTGCTGAGGCTGCTGCTACACTGGTCGTTTTCTCCTGCATTTGTTGTTGCGTTTGTGATAGAAGAGCCAGATCATCCGCGAAGTCTAAATCGTCAAGCTGCATCCTGCCTGTCCACTGTATCCCGTGCATTCCTCCAGATGTTGACGTCTTCATAATCCAGTCGATCACCAGGAGAAAGAGAAAGGGTGAGAGTAGGCAACCTTGCCTAACACCGGTCTTTACCTCGAACGAGTCGGTGAGTTGTCCTCCGTGGACGATTTGACAGTTTAGTCCATCATAGGAGTTCCGTATGATATTGACTATCTTCTCAGGCACGCCGTAGTATCGAAGAAGCTTCCATAGTGTCGTCCTGTCCACGCTATCAAATGCCTTCTCGTAGTCGATGAAGTTGATGTAGAGTGATGAATTCCATTCGATTGATTGTTCCACAATGATCCGCAGAGTTGCGATTTGATCTGTGCACGATCTATCCTTACG